TATTTCTCCCCCAGCAGTGGGGATTAGTTTGTCCTCAGCCATCTATACCAGTGTTATTCTCTGGCAAACTAGAATAGTTTGCCAGGATTTGGGGATGCAGGCTGACGTTGAAAAAGGGACCTGACCTCTCACTCTTAAGACTCTAGTTTGTTTGAATGTCACATATTTACTGAAATTTTAACCATTCTTTCCTTCACCAGTTGATCACCTCGGAACTGGGTTCAGTCCTGATTACATTTTATCATAATTGATCTTGAATATTTTGCTGGGGTTCAATATGACAGGTATTTATTGCAATGTAATTCACATCGAATAAACCTCACCCTTTAAAAATGTACATTTCAATGCATTTTAGTATACTACCAAATTGTGCAATCATCACTAATTCCAGAACATATTCATCATCCAAAAAAGTAATCCCATACCAATTAGTAATGCCATCACCCCCTGGAAATCCTTAATCTACTTTCTGTCTGTTTTGGATTTGTTTATTCCAGGCAGTCAATATAAATGGAATCATACACTATGTAGCCTTTTCTGTCTGTTTTTTTTTCACTTAGCTAAATGTTTTCAAGGTTCATCTATGTTGTAGCATGTATCAGTACTTCCTTTTAATGACTGACTAATATTCCTATGTATAGATTAGATATAGCACTTTTTTATATGTTCATTACTTGATTGGACGTTTGGGTGATTTTACTTTTTGGCTATTATAGATAATGCTGCTATCAACACTTTGCATAAGTTTTTGTGTGCGAGTATGTTTTCAATTTTCTTGGAGATGGTGCTTAAGAATGGGGCTTTGCTGCCTCACTGCCTTGGTCACGCTCTGCCATTTACTGGTTCTGTGAAGTTACTTCTCTGTACCTCAGTTTCATCTATAAACTGTGGGTATTCATAGTACCCACCTCTCAGTGTTTATGAGACTTCAAAGAGCTAATACATGTTAAGTACTTAGGACCGTACGTGGTACCTGTTGTTGCGTGTGAATAAAAATTATCTCTTATTTTAATATTTTGAGTTCCTTAATGATAGATAGGGTTCATCTTCATTATGCCTATGATATCTGAGTCTAAAGGTTTATTTTTGATTTTTCCCCTTTAATAAAAAAAGAAATAAACAGAATTCCTTCGGGGTATCAGGATGTGCTGATTTCAGACAAGCCTATTTCGAAACTGAAGGACAGATGCTTTATACGCTGTAAACTGAGCAGAGGCTTGCCACCTCCAGCTTGTCTTAATACAGCAACTTATAACACTCACCAGCCGGCAATACAATTTAGGAGGTACTTTTGTAGTTAGTGATCTATTATTAATAACGCGGCTGTAATCGCGTGATCGCTTAAGACTCGAGTTTGAAAAGCTGGGAAATAGCTTATTTCCACAGCCACTCTGCGATTGGCTTAGGCGCGACCCAGGTCGATTTTTTGATTGGCTCTCGCACGGAAAGGGACTCTGCCTGAGCCAGTATTGCCAATATGTGGCCAACATGGCTCCACAATTGGCTTTCCTGGAAGCCGGCGGACACGTGGCTACCGCAGCCCGGAGGACGTGGGAGGACCTAGTTCTCCCTACCGCGAGAGGGCGCCGGCGGTTCCTCGGTGCTCAAGTCTCATTTCCCATAAAGCCTCCGAGTGACCAATCAACTGGCTGTCTCGATACCGCTTTCAAAGTCGGCGGGCCCTTTCACCAATCGTAAGACAGATACCGCCCCCAGCCCGAGGATTGATGGAAAGCTTCACCAATCATCTCATAGATCTCTGCGATCTCCGCCTCGCTCGCACGGGATTGACGATCCGTCCGGCCAATAGGGGACGCTCAGTCGGCGGGTGGATGAACGCGGCCCTCTGTAATGGCGGAGCGTGGCGGGGACGGGGGGGACGGTGAGCGATTCAACCCGGGGGAGCTCAGGTAAGGGGCGCTGCCTTCCCTTACATTTCAGCACAGTGGAGTCCCAGGGGGTAGGCCTGTGGCGTGGAGATCCGCGGTGGGAGGTGGACGGAGGAGCCGCGGCGGCTCGGGGCCAGGACCGCATGGGGTTGGCGAAGGGGGAAGGGGAAGGTGGCTTGAATGAGAGAGCCGGGCCGGGGCTGGGCCGCGGCCTCCTGCGCCTTGTCCGGCTGCTCCCTGCGGTTTTCGCGGGTCCTTAGCGCCCCTCGCGGCCTGCGGCCTGCGGGCGGGGTCCGGCGTTCCCGCCTTGGGGCCCCGCCTCAGCCGCGTGCCGCCTCCGCCTCGGCCCCTCTCAGCCTTCGTCTGGGCTTCGCACCGCCGCGGGCCCGGTTTTCCTCCTCGACCCCTTCCGCTCCGCGCTGAACTCCCGGGGACTCCTCGCCACTTCTGGTTCAGCATTCCCCACGCCCTCCGCGGCCCTCGGGGGTCTCCACGTCTGCCCTGTGCCTTCATCCCCACATCGCTTGCTTTTCTGAACTTCCTGTGTGTTTCCTTCCTTTCTCTCCTTTTATTCCTCATGCCGCATTTGTGAATAACAGCGGTAGCAACAGCCGTTTGTTACGTGCTTCTGTGTGCCTTTGGAGTAGTTGCTATTGTCATTTTGCAGGCCCCTCCTCAGTTAAGTTACTTGCCCATCTTACAGGTGAGGAAACTGAACCCCGTAGAGGTTGAGGAAGTGGGACAAGGTCGCATTGGTGGAATTGTGGCTCCAGGAAGTGACTCGAACCAAGGCAGTCGGGCTCCAGAGCCTGCAGTCTGGATCGCTGTTCCATTCTTCTGCTTACGCCATTGCCCTAAAGAGTGCAGTGACCTTTCTTCCTCTGGTATCTCAGTGCCTATGGAATTTGTAATTAAGATTTGGTACAGTAAAAGTGTCTTGATAAAGTAAAATTCTTTAGTCAGTGATATTTGGGGACAAGAGGTACGGAGCTTTTTGTATTTTTGGTCCCCCCCCCCCCCCCCGCATGGGAAAAATGTCATTTCAGATGTTCAGCTCTCATTCTGAATTGTGCCATTGTCAGCATTTGAACATGAAAAAGAGCAGTGTAGGTTATGAGGACTCTTTAGTATTGTCTGGAGCTCAAGATGACATTGTATAAAGAAATGGGTATTGTTACCCAAGGTTTCAGGAAAAATGTCTTCTAAATTCTGAATCGTCACACACAAAAATCCTTATTTGACAGGAATAAAATCTTGTTTTCTTTCAGAAATGAATTTCACATCCTTTAAACCCCATATGTACACTTCAGTAATGAGTGATCAAAGTGCATTGTCAGGGTGGTTCGATATTAGTAATGGAAAGTTTATTCCTTATTGTGATCTCGAGGTACTTAGTTACTTAGCTTGTCATATTGGGAACATTACTTTGCATTTTAGAGCTTTACAATGAGTAGCCTTTTAGACTTTATTAATAATAGCTAGACATTGTTGCAGAACTGATTTGAATAGGGTTTTTAATTAGGTGTTCTGTTGCACATATTTTATACCTTGGCCTCTTGGGTTGGAAGTTCTGCTTCCACAGTGTATTGTAAAAACTCTTTCACTTAAATAGTTTATTTTAGCATTTCTCAGGGTTTAAGAGAAATCACCTGTTTATGTGGCTTCTCTGATGGTAGAAATGGAGGCTTAGTTTTTGTATTGTTATCCTTTACGTATATCATGGTGTGTCTGTCATAGTCCCTGGCAAATGAGGTGTTCAGTGGATATATGGTAAATAAATGAATAAAGGAGATTGAGAGATGGTTTCCTTTTTGGACCTATATTTAGTGTGTGCTTTGTGATGGTCATTGACCTCAGTACCTGCTGGCAGGTACTGTAGAGCCTTGAAGCTGACCAGAAACCTTTGTTCTCAAGGACCTTCCATGCTAATTAAGGTTGGTCTAAATTCTAAATTAAACTAACCTCATCAAATGATCAGCCTGCAAGTGTGAAGAGACTTGCGCAGGGTCATTGAGTAATCGGCTGGGTCTAGGTCTCCTCACAGTCTTACTACTTAATTTGACTCCCATCAATAGCATCCCTCTGTTTTTGCTCCTATTAAAGGAATTGCAGTGTTGTCTTCACCACTGGGGACATTGCATATCTGGATAGAATACTTGTAGGGAAGTACATTTGTTCTTGTAAAAAAAAAATTGCTTTTCTATTCATGTAAGTAGCCTTCTCTTTTCCAAAAAGGTTGAAAGTGATAGGGGTACAAATAACCCACAGTAGACAGAATTTATTCAGAGATCCAAATGCCATCCATCCCTTAATGGTTGGGACCATTAAGAAACTTTTATAGAGTCGTATTTGTATAGATCCTTTATCCAAGGCCTTTGTTTACTTACCTATTAATGCTTTATGTCTTATGACAAGGTACTTGCAATTTCAATTTTCTCAACTGTAAAATGTGAATAAGAATACAGCGGTCCTACCACTGGCCAGCTGCCTTAAAAAATTGGTAAAAATGGTGCCAAAGTTAACCTTATTGGGTTTGTGGTGAGCATAAAAGAGTTAGTACAAATACTGTCCATGTAACTTGCCACAGTTTCCATTTCATAATAATATCATTATTAAAAGACTAATGCTTGAACAGTTATCAACACTGGGTTGCAGCAGTATACTAAGGGGAAATTACATACTACTGGGTAGAGATAATACAAAAGTAAACAAGTGAGAAATTTCTTCGTAGCATTTATCATAATTGAACATTCAGACTGGGTAATGAGCCAGAGAGGGGCTAGGAGAGGTTTGGGATGGGGAAAGAGTTTGAGGTAACATTCGAACTGAGGCTGAATAATGAGGAGCCAGTTATGTAAACATCTTGGGAAAAGCATGCCAGGCAGAGGCTTCAAGGTAATGAACTTTTGAAGTATTTGATCAAAAAAGAAGACTGGAGTCTATAGAGAGGTCAATTATGGAGGGGTCAGGTTATAGGGAGTCTGATAATAGTAATTATAATAATATAGCTAACACTATAGTATAGCTAACTTTCTAATATTAATGCCATTTAACACTTGCTAATCTTACTATACTGACGTTATAGCCACAGTTATAATAGCTAATACTTACAGAGGACTTAAGTGGTAGGTGCTGTTCCCAGTGCTTTATTAGCTCATTTATTCCTCCTTGCAGTTTCTAGTAAAGGCTTTTGGAATGAAACAGTGGTATAGAGAGCTCAGCACGTGTGCCATACAGATCTAACATCAGAAGATGGCAACTTTAGGCTGTTGATGGAGGAAATTCTGTGAATTTTGTTACCATTTTTAGTGGCAGACTTCATAGCTAAGCTGTTGAGTCAAATTGACAGTGAAGTGCCTTTTCAAGTAGAGCACTGTGCTAGGTTTTGTGGGGGAAGGAAAGTAGTGATAAAGTAGTTTAGTGTGTACCAGATAACTATCCTAAATGTTTTATAGTCATTATCTCATTGAACGGAGAGATAGGAGATAAGTTTTATTTCTCTTCCCCTGCTAATTTACATCTGAGTATACTCAGGCTCAGAAAAAATGTAACCAGCCTACAACAAGAGGCAGAGCCCTGATTTGACTGTTCTGTAATTCTGCAGCCTAAATGCTTAACTTCAAGCTAGAACTAGTAAGTGAAATTCTAAAGAAAGAATTACTGTAAATTTTTCAAAAAGGGAGAGGCAGACTCCAAGGAAATCAGAAGATGAAGGTACATTATTAACTCAGTGCTGAAACAGAGTATTTTTCCTTGGTGCTTAACTTTTTTTCTGCTCAAAGGTTAAGATTTCCTTCAGTAACAGTGGTTGTCTTTGGGGAGTGCATATAATTTGAAGACTGATCATTCTGATAAAATCCTTTTTGTAGTCACCATTTTTACATCGTACTTTGTAACCTTGAGTGCAGGATCATTTGCAAATTTGGTTAAATACACTTGGTATAGTAGTTCTTGGATGTGTTTATAATCCCAGTGTTCTCATGGAAGGAAGGCATCTTGGTTCTTAGGATTTTTTGTGACAGTTGAACTACATTGTGGAAAATTTAGAGAAAGTTCAGAGGATAATCTTAAGCAGAGGGTTGAAAATGTAGGAAAGTTGGAAGAGCTTGGTGAGGAGAATATAAAAATGATTATTTTCAAACATACATAAGGAATATAACTGTTAATCTTGTGAGCACAGAAATGTAAATTTCATATATAAAAGAGAGAGTTAAAGTAGCTACTGAGAAGACTAAGGCAAATTATATTAAAAATAATTTTTATAATATTCTCCATACCCTACTTATAAGGTAGCTTAAGTACGATATCACCTAGGTATTTATTGGTTGATTCCACACATACTGAGACCTACTGTGTGCAGACCTAACTCTGTGCTGGGAATATACAGGAGAGCAGGACAGACAGAATTCCTGCTCTAAAGGGACTTATATAGACAGTGTGGTGTAGTGTTTAAGAGCCAGTTGCCTGTGTTCAAATCCTGGTTTTACTACTGAACCAGCTGTGAGGTCTTGGACAAGTGATACTTAACTTTCCTGTGCCTTAATGTCCTCATCTTTAAGTCTAGGTCATACCACCCTGAACACGCCCGATCTCGTCTGTCCTCATCTTTAAAATGAGGATCATACAGTTGACACTTGAACACTGTGGGGATTAGGGATGCTGACCCCCAAACCCTCTGTGATTTGAAAATTCGAATATAACTTTTGACTCCCCCAAAACTAAAGGTTAATAGCCTGCTCTTGTTTTGAAGCCTTACCTATAACCTAAGCAATTGATTAACACATATTTTGTATGTTATATGTGTTATATATTGTATTCTTACAATAAACTAAAGAAAAGAAAATGTTAAGAAAATCATAAGGAAGAGAACATAAGTTAGTATTGTACTGAATTTATTGAAGAAAATTCACCCGTAAGTGGATCTGTGCAATTCAAACCTGTACTGTTCAAGGGTCAACTGTAGCATCCATCTCATAGGGTTGTTACGGTGGTTAAATGACTTAAAAAGAACTTAGAGCATTGCCTGACACATAGTAAGCAGGATTAATAATTTTTTTAAGAAACATTTGTGAGAGGAGATAGATAATACAATCTTAGGTGATACTATCTATCTGTTTAAGTGCCATGGAGAAAACAAACCAGGGTGTTTAGAGATTGAGGGATGGGGTGGGGCGCAGTGTGGCGAAAGGCTTTTCCTTTAATTAAAGAATACTTGTGATCTCTTAAGCTGCTACCTACCTCTCCCGTAAAAACTTTGTATTTGGAAGTAATTTCAAAAAGGTGCAGAAATGAAGGTAATACACCTAGTGTTAATATTTTATCTCTTCTTTATTATTTGCACATATGCATACTCTCTGTTACTCTGAACCATTTGAGGGTAACATACATACACCATGGCCCTTCACCCCTAAATACTTAAGTGTCTGTTTTCTAAGAATGGAGATACTTAACTACAACACAGTTATCAACTTCATAAATTTGCACTGACACAGTACTTATTCTCCATATCACAAGTGTTGTCCATTAATTCAAAATGTCCTGTATAACATTCATCTCTTTAGTACAGAATCCGGTCTGGAGTTAGTATTGTGTTGTCATCTCTTTAGCTTCCTTTAAAATCTGGAACATTTCCACAGCCTTCCTTCGTCTTTTATGTATAACATTGACATTTGTAAAGAATACACTCCCCTTCCTCCTTTTTTTCTTTTAAGATTTACTTATTTTAGAGAGAGCACATGCATGAGTGGGAAGGGCAGAGGGAGAGGGAGAGAGAATCTGAAGCAGATTCTGTGTTGAGCTTGGAGCCCAATGCGGGTCTCCATCTCACGACCCTGAGATCATGACCTGAGCCAAAATCAAGAGTTGGACGCTTCACTGACAGTGCCACCCGGGCACCCCTCCTTTCTTCTCCCTTTTTAAAAATGGAACATTCCTCAGTTTGTGTTTGTCTAATATTTCCTCATTATTAGATTGAGGTTATACATTCTTGCCCAGAATAGGTGATACTGTGTCCCTCTAAGTCACATGATATCCATTTATCCTTTTTAGATGATAGTAATTTTGATCATTTGGTCAGGCTGTTGCCCAACTTCCTTAGTATGTAGTTAGTAGTTCTTCATCCTACCCTGCAATTGTAAATAGCATGTGGGGAGACATTTTAAGACCATCCAAATATCATCCTTATCCAAATTTCCTCCTGGATTTGGTGACCAATTATCATTCTTACTGATGCACTTATCATGTTTGCAAAATGATGACTTTCCAACTCCACTTGCTCTTAAGGGCCTTTTAAATTTGATTTTAATTAGAGATCAATAGCTACATTTTGTAATTTTGAGAAGGAAAAATTTATACATTGCTTTCCCACACAGGATGGCTCAACAGCAGGCCTTGAGGTTCCGAGGCCCGGCTCCCCCACCAAATGCAGTGATGCGAGGCCCACCACCTCTTATGCGACCTCCTCCACCTTTTGGTATGATGCGAGGCCCTCCACCACCACCACGGCCCCCTTTTGGACGTCCTCCTTTTGATCCTAATATGCCGCCAATGCCTCCTCCAGGAGGGATTCCTCCACCGATGGGCCCTCCACACCTCCAGGTAAAGAATGTAGAGTTTGCTGTTTGTCAGTGAGTTTTGCTTAAAAACTAGTTCTTCGTTTCACTGTTTAGGAAAGGGGGAGCTGAAGAGAACATCCATCTGTTAATGTGTTTGTCCAAAAGCAGTGGAAACATAATTAGTATAGAAATTCAGAATGGGAATTTAGATGGTGATAGAAAACCATACATATAAAACTAGGATTCAGCAATGTATTTCTTACATGCTTTTATCTCTTGAGAATTTAGTAATCTGTCTTTATGGGATATGAAATTTGAAATCTTAATATATAGAGTGGGTGAAATTTATTTTCAGTGATACATGTTGCCAATAAATGTAAATATATGTATATATATTTCTGAGCAGTTCTCCCCAGAAGTGATGCTTAGGATAGAATCTACAAAGTGACAACAAAGACATAAGTATAATACTTGGATTTTCTCTCCCTGAGGGGGAAAAAAGGGATTATCTTAAAATTTTAGAAATGGAATTATTGTGGGATTTCTTTAAATAAATACTTTTCTGGTATTTTAACCTGAAGCATAATATTCCTCTCTCGTTTATGTAGACTCAGTTATTGTCTGAAATGGTGTCCTGAAGGTATCAACTCTCAAATGTCTACTTTTGAGATTGTTTTTTTTCTTTTTGTTTGAGTATGTATCTGTTCTCATGTTTATCCAGCCTGCATACCTCTGAAACCAAATAAATACAGTGCTGTCATCTGCCCTCCATTAGCTTAGATAATCAAGAATGAACTTACTAAAAATAGAAAAGGGTAATGAGGTAGTATTTAAGTGAAGTTAACTCAGTTTAGATAGGGTTATGTTTATGGAAGAGACACAGAGTTTTAATATTTTGCTTAATAATTATATTGTCTTCTAAGTAATGGATAGTTCCTACGCCCCAACAAAGTGTTAAATGGTTTTATATTTCCTTGAAGATTAGAATAAGAAATAGGTTTTTGACCTACTGATTCTGGTACAACTTGTAATAATACGTGGAGTTATTCTAACTTGTGCCTTTAAGATTTAAATCTACTTGTAGAATATTATAAAATGTAATGGACTAATGTGACCCTCAAATGGAAATAAATCAGTTATTGTAATGTGATATTTTCTAATGTTTTGATACTTTTCTTGGTCTTGATGGATAAGTGTGTAGTTTTACTTTAAATCCAGATGTTTTCCAGCTAATGGTGCATGAGACATATTTGGGGTAGTTATTTCATAGAATGAGGGTCTGTGTGCTGTTGCTGGAAAGACTAAACTGAATCCAGAAAAAGCTGGAATATGGGAAGAAGACAGTTTTAGGAAAAGGAAATGCAATTTCATATTATTAGCATAGTGTCCCTTCCATTATACAGATTAAGGTGCTTTGGATAATTGAATTTTAAAGTAACTTATAGATTATAGAGGAAATCTTTTTAATTCCTGTTCAGAATCTGTTTTTAAAATACCAGGCCACATTTCGGCTTTAGTAAATAAGATGTAGCAGTTTCACTTAAATTGTTTGGTTTGGGGTCTTGTGTCAGCAGTCTTTGAAGAATGACAATAAGTGAATTATCAGAGATAGGATTAGATCAGTAATGGTTCCAGGAAATTTGTTTAAAAATTGTAATACATACCATTTAAATTCTTATTTTCACTAAAAGTAAAATGGTCAGCTTTTACCATGTCTTTTAAACTTCCTGGTATTTGTATGTTTGAGCTACATTATTAGTATTACTTGAAAAAAAAGGAAATGATGACTATTTTCCTACCTTATAGTTACTTCTTAATGGGAAAAGAGAATAAAGGGTTATGTATAGCTGGTTTTTCAGTTATTGCTGTGTTATTTATAAAATAATGTTTCTTTTACAGTTGGTTCCTGTTGTAGGTGAGGTATGGAGGCATTGGTGTGCTTGGTGTTCAGCAAGACATATAAATCAGTTTTTTCCTTTTGAAAATAATCCAGTACCCAGTGTATGAAATAATGCTGTTAAAGTATAAAGAAAAAGCAAGATTGATTCATCCATGATGCCGTAACACAGAGAGGACTCCTGTTAGTGTTTTGATGTATTCCTTTCTAGTCTGTTTGAGTATCATTTTTGTTAAAGAGAAACTTGTCTTATACAATGTAGATGAATGTATTTGAATGGGCTATAAAACTAGTTTCTCTTATAGTACTTTACTTTTGGGTAGAATTTAGTCATTTGAAGGGAAAAAAAAGATAAATACAAGTGACCATTATTGTTCTTGTTAATTGACAGAGACCACCTTTTATGCCTCCACCCATGGGAACCATGCCTCCTCCTCCGGGTATGATGTTTCCACCAGGAATGCCTCCTGTGACTGCTCCTGGTACTCCAGCATTGCCTCCTACTGAGGAGATATGGGTTGAAAATAAAACTCCAGATGGGAAGGTAAATTCTAAAATGTATTTAGGTCGTTATCTTGTTGGTGACAAGAGAGTAAAATTTAAGAGTTCTGGCAAATGGAGATAAGTGACAGTATCCTTGCCAATGAATATGAGTCTCAGACAAGCACTGGATAGGGTAGAACTCCAAGAAAGCCTCCCTGGATTGGATTTCTGCACAGACATAAGGTTGCCTGGAGTGCTTACATAAGTTTACCTGTGATTCTGGAAGCTTGTATTTTAAATAGTGTCAATGAGGTTTGGTTTTGGCTAGGACGACTCATAGAACTCAGCATATAGTAGTACTTACAGCTAAGACTAATTATAGTGAAAGGATCCAAAGCAAAACCAGCAAAGAAGAAAAGGTGTATGGGGCGAAAACTGGAGGAAACCAAGCATAAGCTTCCAGGAGTCCCCTCAGTGGAATCACACTGAACAATTTAATTCCTCCAGCATGGAATTGTGAGAATACGTGTGAAGTGTTGTCTACCAAGGAAGCTTGCCTGAGCCAAGGAGTTGAGGGTTTCCAGGGAATGGCGGGAGCCCTTCTAAAATTCAGGTGTCCACATGCCAGTCAGGGCCAACTTTGCAAGCAAGGCTTTCTAAGGAGAGCAGTCTGAAGCCTTCTCAGTTAAGTTTGTGCACAAAATACAACCTTGGTTTTCCTTTTTGTGTTAAAAATACAGAGCACTCATTATAGAAAATTAGGGGAAGGGGAGAAAGGAGGGGGAAATTACCTCTAGTATCAATACACCAACAGCCAATTTCCATGTACTTCTCTTTTCTAAGTTTTTTTAAAATACCTTTTAAGACAGGATATAGTTGCATTAGTGTTTTTTTTAAATGATAGTTGACAGATTCTGGGATACCAACGATTTTGCTTCCTCTGCAGGTTTATTATTATAATGCTCGGACACGTGAATCTGCATGGACCAAACCAGATGGAGTTAAGGTTATTCAGCAGTCAGAACTGACACCTATGCTTGCAGCCCAGGCTCAGGTTCAGGCCCAAGCCCAGGCGCAGGCCCAGGCCCAGGCCCAGGCGCAGGCTCAGGCGCAGGCACAAGCACAAGCTCAAGCGCAGGCCCAGGCCCAGGCACAGGCCCAGGCTCAGGCACAAGCACAGGCTCAGGCGCAGGCCCAAGCTCAGGCCCAGGTGCAGGCGCAAGTACAAGCACAAGCAGTAGGAGCTTCCACCCCTACAACCAGTAGCCCAGCACCTGCAGTGTCCACTTCAACATCATCATCCACCCCATCCTCTACCACTTCTACCACAACAACTGCCTCTTCGGTTTCGCAGACAGTATCAAGTGAGTACCAGCCAGCATGTATTTTCATTTAGGGGCTAGAGAAATGGACAAGTAGGGACTGCATTGCAAAATGATCCTAGTGTTTCAGGTGTTATCCTTGCTGTTACTTAAAATACATTTTTGACACTAAGACTTCTGGGTTAAAAAAAGAACAGGAATTTAAATTAGTAGAAGAAATTATTTGTCCTGTTGGCGTTCATGAAGCTAAACTGGGAAGTGCAGAGGTAGCTATTCCATCTCGGCCAACAGTAATGCTGGGTGCTGTGGGGTTTGTAAAATAAGTGTTAAGTCTTTGTTCCTGCCTTATAGGACTTTCAGTTTTTCTAACTGAGGCGAGAATAATGTATGTGGAGCAATTAGGGAGTAGTGTGTCCAGTTACACAGTGAAAATAGAAGACGGTAGGAATTTAAGAAAAGGGAGAGATGAGTAATGGGTGGACAGACTATGTGGGTATTGAGATTGATCATGAAGGATGTGTGGTAGGATTTGAGTAGATTTCAAAGTAAAGAGAGATCTTTCTGGTAGGGGGAACAGCATAAACAAAGGTCAGGAGGTGAGGAAAAATGCAATTTATGGGATTGTTAAGAAAGTCTTCTGAGGTGGGAGGTGGTTTATATTGGTTAACACATTTATTCAGAGTGAGACCAGGTTATGAAGAGTTTTAAGAACTAGTCATATGGGTGAGGCAGGTAGGTTCCAGGGGTCCAGTATAAGTGCAGTGTTCTGGAACATTTTTCTGGTGTTCTTTTTTTGGGGGAGGGGGTAGTTATTGAAATCAGGAAAAGTTATTAGGAACTTTTTAGTAATTTTGTGTAGAGGTAGGTAGGTCCTGGAATGGGATACAGGCAGACGTCTGAGGAGCGGAGATAGAAGCAGTCAGAAATGAAAGAGAATTTTCATGTATAACGTCACAGAGGCCCCAGGGTTAGACCTTTCCTAAAAAGATGAGAGGGGATTATAGCAGATTTTAGGAATGAGAAGAGAAGAATTATTTATTTGCTTAAAAGATTGTCATTAATATTAACACTACTAGTTTTGGGAGGCTTTTGTTTGTATTTTTATATATATGGTACTACTTAATCTTCAGGCTGAGGTTGAGCCCCAAAATATTTATTTGTTTTTAAAGATTTTATTTATTTATTTGAGAGAGAGAGAATGAGAGACAGCACGAGAGGGAAGAGGGTCAGAGGGAGAAGCAGACTCCCTGCTGAGCAGGGAGCCCGATGTGGGACTCCATCCCAGGACTCCAGGATCATGACCTGAGCCGAAGGCAGTCGCTTAACCAACTGAGCCACCCAGGCGCCCGAGCCCCAAAATATTTAAATAATGATTTTATTGATTTGATTATTTTGTTTTGATACTGGTATGAAGATACATAGTTAACCCTATAAGTGATTAGAAGTTGGATTATTTTGCTACCTGGATAATAGATGAGAATAAGAAAAGAAGGCTTCAGGGACTTGGGAATTATTAATGTCTTTTATCCTATAAGAAATATGTGAGAGAGATTAAATCATAGTAGATTCAGATTGGATTGGAGTAACTGAAGAAGTAAGGTACACCTAATACAGAGACAGTTTTTTAATAGCTGTGCTTGATATAGTTTAGACAGGTTGGGGGAAAATGCACTTAGTAGGAAGATGTAAATAATGCTTTACATCTTGATTAGCTAAGGTGAATTCTGATATGGAAGTATAACTGGCAGTTACTAGCTGGCTAGGGGTTTCCCTTCTCATAGGCTAGTGTTTCTAAAAACCTGTGTGGTAAGGCAGGAAACTGCCAGTTTTTATGGGGTACCTGTGGTGGTAATGACGGAAGGAGATTAATAAAAGCATTGCAGTTCTGTGTGGAGGCTCTGTGTTGCTTATGCTTTTGTTCCCTTCCTTCTTAGGAAGGAGAAGTGGTAGTACTTTGTTTTAAAGAAGGTTGGTAACAGAATACTTTAACTGTCGTATATGTATTCCATTTCTGTATCAGAGTGGTCTGTCCAGAGGTCTGTAGCTGTCTTGCTGCTATGAACTATTCTATTCAGAACTCTGGTTTGTCATTTTTTGCACTGCCGTTCACTAATTGGGAGGCCCTTATTCTAAGAACAGAATAGCAAAAACATGTTCTTTTTACTGCCCTTAACCATCACTTTTGATGTTCTTTCTGAGTATTCCTGATGTCTGTTTTTATTTCACTTGATTCAGTATCCTGAAGTGTTGTCATACTACAGTCTTAGTATTTCTCCATCTGTTGTAGTCACTTGTCTTTTTTAATTAAGATCTGAGGCTGGATTAGGTGTATATTTGGGGCCTAGCCTTTCACTAGTTATTTTAGCAAAAGGTGTTAGTAGGAGTTTAGTGACCATTAAGTTCTAGCTCCCATTCTCCCAGTTTCCCATTGAATTCTTTCATTGCCTTTATGTCTTTCCTCTCATGACTCATGGCCACTAATCAGATTTAGAAAATCCTGTGTCAGCAGGAGGAGTGGGTTGAGTGAATAACTTTCTGCCATCTCCATTGGTGTTCCTTTCCATTTGAAATTTGATGATTTTGTAACTCCTATTCTTTTCCTGAGTATAGTACTTTTTATTGTACTTCTGATTATATCTAAGTATTATTACATAACATTTAAAAAAATGTAATTGTATGAACTGCCTTATAGTCCTGCGGGTGAATAGAAATAAAAATTAAGAAATTTATATTTTAGCCCCAGTTGAGCATAAACTCATTTTATCCTGTGCAAGTTTGTGAGAAATGCTGATGAAATCCTCCTTCTCAGGGAAGTTGGGAAGAATAGACATATTTTCAGCCATTACAGTAGACTACAGAAGCTAAGTGGTATATTTATGGGACTGGGCAAATGTTGCATGTAATTTGTATTTTTCACACTGTTATAAAATTATATTAATATGATACTGTACCCTAAGGCTAGGTCTATGCTAGACCAACAATTCATTCCTGGGCCCCTGAAGATACTTGTTTGGCCCTGCTGTCTATTTAGCCAAGGTGAGTCCCTCATTAACAAGTATGAAATTGCTCACATCTTCCCAGCCTAAGTGAGTTTTTCATTATTAGGAGCTGAAAAAAGATACAAATTTTGTCAGGTGGATTATTGGGTGGCTTGTATTCAATAGTGTGCTTTCCCTTAGAATAAAATTGGCATAAAGATTGGGAATGCACTATTTTATTTCATTTAATTTGATAAATTCATTCTTAGTCCAGTATAGGTAGTTTAAAAATGAAGTATTTGTTACCAATGAGTTACCAAAATGAATTTTGTTTTGGAACTAAGTGGGTTATAAATAAATAGCAAAAATGTTTTATAATACTTGAGAACTGAAACTTTTTAAAAAGTATAAAATACAAATTTTATTTTTTGGGTCACAGTTTGATTTTAAATGTGATAGAGATGAAATGTTTTATTTTTGCTGCTTAAAAATAATGTATTAGAATCAAATTATCCCGAATTTCATATTCTCCTGGTCTCTCACACTGGAAACATGAGTTATTATTGTTTTTTCTTTTTTTACCTTTTTATTTTGAAATAATTGTAGAGAAACGCAACTTGTTTTTTACTCCATTTGTTCATACTCAGTCATCAGTTATTGCATATCTTTTTCTCACTGTTTTTCCTTGCTTGGATAGTTCCAGATAGGTTGAAGTTGATTTTCCCACCTCTGTTCTTCCTTTTCTTCCCATTCATCTGTCAGATTAATTCATCAGATGAACACTGCTTAATTCTCTTCCATACAGAAACCTTCATTTTGCCTCCCCTAGACCTCTTTCATGCTCACGAAGTCACACGAATAACACATGAATGCATTCTTAAAAAAAATTTAAACTCTAATGAAGGATATGTAGCAAAATGTGAAAGGCATACACAGATGTAGTGAGTACCTACATTTTGGTGTGCATTCTATTAGGTCAGTTTTGTGCATTTACCTTAGTTCTTTCTTTTCACTACCCAGTAAAGTACCGACTCCCTAGTCTTCTGCCAGAGCCTTGTACTTTATGCCTCTGGCCTGCCTTTACAGCCATAACTCACTGGTTCTTTTGATATGCCTAGTGTTTTACTAGTTGACTGCTTGCTTTGTATTTTCTAAATAATTCCTTGTTATCTCCTCTTTGCTTTTACTCACTTTTCCCATTACTTGCTTATTTTCTCCTCCTACTTTGTCATTGTCCTTGTTGAAATCCTAATCTTTCAAGGCCTGTCATCACAGTGTACAATTTTCTGTACCTCTCACAGTTAGAAATGGTCTTTGTGTCTTGATTTACACTCCTGTACTATTATCCCATTTCACTTTGTATTTTAGTTATTTTTTGTATTTCATTTAACCGCCTATTTTCAAGCTTCTTGAAGACAAGAGACCTTGTTACAAATTTCTTGCAGTGCATGGAATGGGCCCTTAAATACTTACTGAATGAGTGAATGATGAATGAATATAGCGAAATGGTTTATGAAGGAGTGATACATATTTTTGTTTTATCTTTTATCAGCACCCACAACACAAGATCAGACCCCAAGTTCTGCTGTTTCAGTTGCCACGCCTACAGTTAGTGTTTCAACTCCTGCTCCTACAGCCACACCTGTGCAAACTGTTCCCCAGCCGCATCCCCAGACGTTACCTCCTGCTGTTCCTCATTCAGTACCTCAGCCAGCAGCAGCAATACCTGCTTTTCCACCAGTAATGGTACCTCCGTTTCGTGTTCCCCTTCCTGGCATGCCAATTCCACTTCCAGGTAAACCAATAGATTCTAATAGTCCTTTCCAGCTATGTTTTCATATTGTCAGTTAGTTTGTTCTCATGTGTCTGTTGCATTTGAAATTTGCCTTGAATCTCACCTGTTTGAAATGTTTTTTGAAAGATTCATGGCTAACTGCAATATTTTCTCTTCAGTTTTGGTAAATGTCCTTTTTTTGTTGTTGTTTACATGTCTTAAAATTAGAGCCACATTTGAAGTTCCACTCATTTTTGGATAATGGCCTCAGTGAATTAAAAAATGATCATCTTTTCATGTAACTATGTTCAAATGCAATATCTTTAAAGGATTGAGTCTGTGAAGTTGAGAACTTACAAGTCATTACTAGCTGATACAAATTGAGTGATTTTATATATTGTGCCCTGTTCTAAGCACTTTACATGTAATAACTCAATTTAATTTTTGCAACCATCGTATGAGGTAGGTACACAGACAGGTTAAATTACTTGCCCATGGTCACATAGCTGATAAGTGATGATGTTGGGATATGAGCTGAGCACTCCAGACCCGAATACCATGCTCTTAATAACTGTACTATACTGGGAAGAAAATGTGAATCACTTAACTATAAGAAATTCATCTAAAGCAAAACCAGAACTTTTCCTTGTAACATGAAGTGAAGTGAAGTATAACCTGCATCATTTAAACATTTAAATAGGTATAGTGAGATTGTGGCATAGAATTTTTCCTGTAGGGATTAAACAGGGATAGTGTCGGGCATCCTAATTTGAATGCATATGCTTTTGGCAAACACATTTAACCCTTAATCCATGGTCTGTTCTCCTAGTATTACAGTTTGAAGCTTTTATACCTTAGCTCAAGTTCATAGGTCTAGTGTGTAGCAAAGATGGATAGAATGTAGGCCTCTTGTCTCCCAGTTTCATATTCTTCATGCTATTATTGCTGTTTTATTGTACTAGTTTTTACGTAAGAATAGGGTTGTAGTCCGGCTGTTTCTTAGATTTGTACATATTTTAAATATCGCTATTGTTCTAATTGTCTTTTTCCTTGTGACTGCTTGGAAAAGAAGCAGCCACTTAGGTATTGCACCTTAGCAAGAAAGAAACCAAAAATTTTAAGAATTAGGTTTTTTCCCTAAGGAAAACCTTTTGCACATTATTGATGTAGTGTTAGATAATTAAATACCCAATATGCGATGTTTAAGAAACTCAAATCATTTAAAAGTAAGAAGAAAACCAAAAATGTTTCCTCGTACTAGGGATTACCCTTCTTCTAAATTAGATTTTAAGACAAGCTGCTGGATAATTGCCTCTGGATATACTTTTGGTAGAAAACCAGGTGATACATGGAGACTAGGTTGACATTGGTCATAAGCTTTCACAGTCTTGCTCTGCTTTGGGATCAGGGACAGTATTCAGACCATATACTGGATTCTGAATCACCTGAAGAAGCTGGGGTTGTGAATTCTGTAGAGAGGAGATTGGGGCATAGCATAGTGATGTTACCGAAGTATTTGAGAGGTTTTGTAAATGGACTTTTGCTTTGCTTTGGAGGTTCTTAATAGGGACCAGTGGGTGAAAGGTAAAGAGTAGCAAAATTCATTTCTATAGACTGTGGAATTTTATCACAATAAAATCCCTTCACTTATAGGCCTGTTTTGATATGGTCTTCTCTGACCCTCACCCCATCTTTACGTTTTAAAACAGATGATGGTGACCATTTGATCAAGCGAGGTGGTACCTATGAAGTTTAGCAGTAAAAGGCATTTAATAAATGACAGTCACTAATGTCATTTTGTAGGTCATTTGGAAGAGAGCTTGAGTTAGATAATCTGTAAAATTTTGTCCAAGATGCCATGATTCCTTAAAGAGTTAATGTTTTATAGAAAATAATAATATTTGTTTATATGGTAAGGCATCTTTGATATTATGAATTCATTTTCTCATTTTCCCTTTTAACTCAGTTCTCCAAGGTGCTTTAGTGGGAGGGAAAAAAAAGGAAAAGACTTGTCTTTCTCTTCCCCAAATCTTTTATACACAGTGGGATTGATCTCTTTTTGTTTCTTTTTATCAATTTGGCAGTAAGGTAAACAGGAAAGATTTGGATGTGATTTATCCTGGAGCTTTAAGTTTTCCCTGTAATAGCAGTGTATGTCTTTAATGAGGATGATTAAGGAAAAGATAATCAAATAAGATGAAGGAAAAGAGTGGAAGAATTAAGTCTAAGACTATAAAATCTTACTTGGAATTTTAAGAAACTTATTGACATCAGAACTATTCAGAATGCTCAATGGAATTTTCTAATTTCCTAGTAGAACATAACTTGAGAATAAAGTTACAGGAAAGTTGAATAGATGTTCCCTTTGGATTTTTTTAAATTTTATTTTTTAAATTTATTTATTAGAGCAAGAGCCAGCACGAGCAGAGAGAGGGAGATAAAGAATCCTCAAGCAGACTCCCTGCTGAGTATGGAGCCTGAAATGGGGCTTGATCTCATGACTCAGAGATCATGACCTGAGCCAAAATTGAGAGTTGGATGCTTAACCAGCTGAGGCACCCAGACGTCCCAGATGCTCCCTTTAAATAGAGGTTTAAAAATTTAGATGTGTGGCAGTTTTGTGAGTCCTGTGTATGAAATTACCCTCAAAGAAAACCTTAAGTTTATCTTTTTAGCTTGAAAAGAAACACGTATGACCTTTCAGTATGGTCTCTTTGTTGTCAGTCAAATATAGGAGTTCTGTGTTGGCCCAGTTGATCCTTAACAATGGCACCTAGGCCTAAATATGAGTAGATTTGATTTTCTTCTCTTTAAGTTGAATAGTTAAAATTACCTTTTGGGGGGTGGTTTTGGAGAACATTGTTTGAGGGAAAAAAAGTTCACGTATTCTAAGAATTGAATTTCCAGGGCTGACTTATTAGGTTCAGTGGTCCTGCAGATGGCAGTATTTATACTAATTTAAACCTAATATGTGGTGTAACTTCTTTAACCAAATGAATTTTTCCATTGCTTTCTTTTAACATTAGGGAAAACAGAACCATACATACGACTTAACTCAGCATGCTTTTATGATCCAGTGCTTTTGTTTTATGTTTCAGAGGTAATAGAAAGTTTAGCTCTAATATTCTTCACTTAAAATAGTAAATAAGAAATTAAAGGCATTTTTCAAAAATTGGCAGTATTTTTGTGTGTGTGTGCGTGAACTTAGGTACATTATTTACAAACCCAGGGGTTTAATTTCAGTTTTTAACTCTAAGAGAAATTTCTTTTCCTATACTTTAGTGGAGAAAATAGTATATTATTTTAAATTTTTATTGGTACTAAACTAGGTTTAGTTTTTTCAGCCAAACAAATAGGAATTAAAACTAAGTCTCCCAACCCCTTTTCTTCCTGCGTTCAGCCTTCAGCCTTTTTCTTTAAAAATTTTTTCCTAATTCACACTTAATTTTGGATTTCTTCAATTAATCAGTCTTAGTTTTCCAGCTTTTCCTTTCATTCCCTTTTTATCACCATTGTAATGCATCATGATGAGTCTTCATTCTTCTAAGAACTGTACGTAATTTCCATTCTTTGATACAAGTGCTGCTTCTTTAGTTTGGCTTAAATAATAGAGGTTTCTGAACAATCAGCCCATGTAGTCATTAGTGCTACTAAAGGGCCTGTATTTTTCTTCACATGTTAGCCTGCTTCCACACTGTTTCAGGCCTGTGACATTCCATAGAGCAGGTCCTAAACATGGATATTTTGTCATTAGTTGAATGCTACCCTTCTTTTCATCTCTGCCCTTTTATTTAAAATGTTATTTGCGTTGGAATTTTGAATCCATCTCATACCTTACTTTCTTCCTTTCTTTCGTACCCCTCTTTGTCCCATTTTATTCTTTTTCTCCTTCTGCATGGTTATGCTCCATGCCTCAGCTTCTGCATGTAGTTCCCACTTAGCAGCACAGAGAAAGCGTCTTGTCAGTGTCATGCTGCATCTGCCTTTCACTGGTATCTAAGCAACAGCAGCATGGGTTTGATGTCCTGTGGGAAAATGTCCCACATGAGAACTTGTTATATATTTGTAATGAAGGGGCTTCCTTCATTGAATTTAAACTCTCAAGACTCCTTCAAATATTATCAGAGCTGGTTTGATAAAAAGGTAATTGATGCTATAATTTAGAATTAGTTATCATTGGATTTGGCACCACTTCCCACAAAATGTCAAACAAAAAGAAATTCTACTCCATTCCTGGTCTTTTTCATTGGAAATAGCATTCTAAATTGTAGTGGTAAATTACTTCCCTGAATCCCAGTGGTAGCCGACATACCATGGCAGCTTTCCAACGTATGCTTGCTTATCCATTTTACAGGTGTAGCAATGATGCAAATAGTCAGCTGCCCGTATGTAAAGACAGTCGCTACCACCAAGACCGGTAATTTTTAAAACCATCTTAGTTTGTTTTGTCTGTAAGTTGGCATGGTAGTGAATGTTGTTGTTTATCCTTTTATTTATTTATTTTTGCCCAAGTGAGTGGATTTTTTTATATTTTTCTTTTTAATGAGCAGTATAAATGCAGTTGTCATATTTGGCCAACACTTAATTTTCCCAATTGCCTGTAGTATTAGCTTCTTTGGTTCACAAAAGCAAATAAGGTCAGATCACTTTATATCTTAATTTTTGTAATAAGTGTAAACAACTTCATTCTCATATTCATAACATTTAATTTTATTTTTGATGTGTGTTTTTAAGTTAAATATAAAAAAATCATTTCCATGTGTAAAGTGATGTGATTATGCTTGCATGCTAGTGAGTATATGTGTGTGAATATTTGTGTATATAGTATAAATTTACATTTGAAACTTACTGAAGATAGCTACCTGAAACTTAAATTCTGGAATAGGATATGAGGGTTTTTTTTTTTTTCAATTTGGATTTGTATATCCTTAATTATTTGTATAATGTCAGCTTGTGTAGCTGTCTTGGAAAAAAAAATACTAATTTTGGCTTATCTTTTAAAAAACAGAAGAAACTGCCTTTTTTTTTTAGGGAAAAGACTAAACTGACAAAGAGTTAACAGAGACATCTAACTTAATCACTATATTAACGTGGATTTGATAATAAACTCAGTCATTTACCTTAAAACTGAGAATTTTATTCATACCCTTTTAGGTACCTTAGAACTAGAAAGTAATTTGCCTCAGGAAATATGCTCAGTAAATATGTTTGTTGTCTTGATTTCATTAGAATTTGAGAAATTCTTTATAAAAATATATTTCTCGTCACACGTACAGAATGTGTCATGATTTTTATAATTATTGTTAGGACTTCATCATACCTTCAATCCAAATTTTTGACTGTTCTTAAGGTACTTCTTGGGTTGAATTTCTGAATCTAATTGAATTTAGATCTTAGAACTAAACCAGGGAAATAGTGTTAATTAATTAAATCACATTTTATATGAGTTGTTTTTGTTCCAACTGGCTCATTCTTTTATTAATGTATAATAGAAAGATGTAGCTCATATTTTAAAGTTTCATTTTGCTATACAATTTGATACTTGGACCTAACTTTGTATTATTCTTCTTTTAGGTGTGTTGCCAGGCATGGCCCCTCCTATCGTACCTATGATACACCCCCAGGTTGCTATTGCAGCTTCCCCTGCTACCTTAGCTGGAGCGACGGCAGTTTCTGAGTGGACTGAGTATAAAACAGCGGATGGAAAGACGTATTACTATAATAATAGAACGTTAGAATCAACCTGGGAAAAACCCCAAGAGCTAAAGGAAAAAGGTATAGTTTTCATGACTTGTTGAGATGTAGTAAAAGTTATGATACAATAAATTGAATGCTATTTGAAATTCTGAGTTAATTCCTTTTTTAACACATTTGAAGAATTTGCTAATTCCATAGTTGTTGGATGTATTTAAAAAGCCAGTTCCACTTAACATATTTGTCCATGATTTTTCCATCTGGAGAAATTAAATTATACATCTGTACACATATATTTCTGTATTAGGAATTGCATAATTATTCTCCTGTGTAATTACTGAGATTGATAGTACTCTCAGGAAGAGATGTCTGTATTGCGTCTGTTCTAAAGAAAGAAATGTAGGCCCTTGGAGTCTTGGATGAGGAAAATTCATATAATTTTCTGTATCACAAGTTCCTGTTTCTAAGTATCTTAGTATCTTGTCCCTTTGAGCAAAATGAATCATTGCTACAAAGGATATGCGAATGACTTGAAAGACTGTGTCCCTGTGCAGTCAGTGATTTATTTTCTAGTGACAGTTTTTTGATGGTATAGCAAGGTATTTGAAGTTGACCAGTACGTTATATTGAAATTGATGGTACAAAGAACATTTTATCTTTGTGGTTAGTAACTTTAGTTATGGAATATCTTAATTGCTTAGAATTTGAAAGTTCTTGGAAAATTACACCAAAAACCATTGAGTGACATTGTCTTAACTTGGTAATAGAAAAATTAGAGGAGAAGATTAAAGAGCCAATTAAAGAACCTTCTGAAGAACCTCTTCCAATGGAGACGGAGGAGGAGGACCCTAAAGAAGAGCCCATAAAGGAGATAAAGGAGGTAAAGGGCCATGACCTGTTAACCTGGGAGCCAGCATTAATTGCTGGGTACAATTTACTTGTAATTGAAAACCCATCTGATACAGTTTTAGATAATTGTCCTTAGTCTGATTTCTGAAATTTTGGGGTTCTTTGAAGTTTGTAATTCAGTTTTTCCTGTGAAAGTTTCATTAAATTACTTCTTAGAGTAAACCAAGGCCCCTAGAAAGAAAGGACCTTGGGCCAGGGCATTGACCCCAATCCCAACCTCCTGATTTATAGACTGGCACATGGTAAAAATCATATGTACAATTTTATATTTGGGGGATGTTTTATCTGTCTTCTCCTGGCATGCAGTGATCTCTGTAGAGCACTAAAACTCTGCTTTTTGGAAGCTTTCTTTATTCAGTGAGGGACTAATGGTAGTCATGTTTTATTAGTAAGGAAGTTAGCAAGAGAAAGAAATAACCTTAAATGAAGAGGTCTCATCTGATTTTCTATCCTTAGTTCTCCATTTCTGCTCCTAAGCAGATGGTTAGTGAGTCTGTAAGATAGGACCATCTGCTGTTGCTGGGGTCTGCTGTTGTAGAATTCAGCTCTGTCTAGGGAGCAAGGATTTAGAACTTTCTTAGCAATTCCTACTCAGGGTCCTCACTATGCTAGTAACAGACCTTATGTTGGTTGCACTTTGAGGTATTCACAGTTTTACTTGTATTTGTGTAAGATTCAGATATAGTTTTATGATACTAATGAGATGGGAGTAACATTATTTCCCATAGGAGCCCAAAGAGGAGGAGATGACTGAAGAAGAAAAGGCTGCCCAGAAGGCAAAGCCAGTAGCTACTACCCCTATTCCTGGTACTCCATGGTATGTACTTGGCTCAGTTAGTAAGTTACTTTATTTCATTCTTGTTTGCTCATATTTTGCCATATTTGATTGTTACATGGTTTATCATATTAGAAATAAAAGGTGCTTTAAAAAAATACATGCCAAGTAGACGTTTTTATCTAATGAATGAATATTTTGTTCTTATTTCTTAAAACTCAATTGCTACATTGTCTTTCTCCTTTCATGGTACTGTCCATTAATGTTTATTGTACATAATTATAGACTTGAACTGCTGTGAGATCCTGAATCTCCTTTTTATTGAAATTTAAAAGTTAATTTTGTACATATGCCCACATACATGATTGTATTTATAGAACTGTGTAAAGTATTTAAGTTTATTTTTTCATTAAGTCTTCATTTACTTAATTTATTTCTTTTATTTGGTTTGGTTTTCCCTTTTCTTCTTCTCCCTTTGTCAGTGCTCTCTCCTGTTTCTGCTCCAGCCCATGTAATCCACGTACAGTCCACATATTGCAGGGAGTTCTTCCTTACATCTTGTGATCTATAGGTTTCCCTTCATTGTGTTTTCATTGCTTTTTCCTTTCTGTTTTTGTTATTTAAAAAATAAATATGTTATGGAGACTCAGTCTGAATGTTACTGTTGCATCCCCTTGGTACTGTTTTAGTCTCCTATTCCTGAATTTCTTGCAAACTAGCAAGTATATGTAGAGACCTGATCAGATTCACATGTGATCTTTTTGGCAAGACTAGTTCAGAAGTGGATGTTTGGCAGTGTCTGGAGACATTTTTGGTTGTCATAACTTGGAAGCGATTAATAGCGTTGTAGCATCTAGTTGTTAGAGGGCAGAGATGCTCCTAAATATCCTACCAGGTACAGGAGAGCTCCCTACAAGAATTAATTATTTGGCCCAAAATGTCAGTAGTGCTGAGATTTTCACAAGAATGAGTTGGTTTGAGTAATACAAATTCATAGATTTAAATACATTTTCTTTGCTTCCATCTGTTATCATTACTGAAGTTCAGTTGTTTCATCTTGAGCTGGGTGAAGCCTCTTAAGGTTGACTGGGGTTTTTTGTTGTAACCCTGTCTTTGATACCTTTCTTGTTTTCTACTCTGACAAAAGGTGTTCCTGGCTTTCTCATGTATTTCCTGTCTCAGACCTAGATTTGGCCATTTTGCTTTTTGTGGGACGTGGCATTTATAGGATCTAGGGATAGTTATTACTGAATAAGTCGTTATTTTTAGACCTCTTTGGTAGACACAGAGTGAAGATGCACACATTTAAAGATACATCATGTGTTCATATCATTACTTGCAGTTCAGATTTACAAGGTTTTTACTGAACCTCATCATCTGTTTTAATTCAGCATCCCCTTTCCTGCTCAAAATCCTTTAATCCTTTTGCTGAGTGATAGCAACATAATTACTCATTTGCTTTTCTCACACACAAGTCACAGAATTGTAGTACCAGCACTGTCACTAACAGTGTGACACTGAAGACACTTTTTAACCTTTATTATCCTCCCCCCCCGTTTGTTTTTTTTTTTTCCAGGGTATGTCACTCCAGGGATTTGTAGTCAAATTACTGTGTTTTAAAGGCATTTGGAATAATTGTCTTCTGTATATTTCATTCCACCAACTTGATACATAGCCTCATTTTAAAAAATAAGTAAGCAAAATATTTACCTGGATCCAAAATCAAAGTTATGGAAACAGTCTATTTCAAGAATATGTTCCTAGGTTGTGGTTTCTGAGTTTGAGTTTTGTACATGAAAAGCTGGTCATCACCTCCAAACCCCACCAGTCTGAAGCTTCGTGGATTCTCATCAGTTTTCAGATTTGAGTCTGTCCCCACATTAGTGGAATTTCTTTTGGAATTTGTTTAATTATTGCTTCTCTTTATCTGTTTGTTTTTCCTTTTCTGGAACATTTGTTATTTGCATGTCAAGTCTCTTATATTTATCACCCTCTAAACCTCTTTTTCTGTATGTTTTATATCTATGGTTTTTGTGTCCTGCTTTCAGTTATTTTCTCGATAATCTGATATTATTAGAAAAGAATATGTGAATCCATAAAAACATACAATATGAAAGAATTAAATGGAGGAAAAAATTAAAGAATTCCACTTTCCCCAAGCCTCATTAATGAAAGTTTGGTTACATATGCCTTCTGGACCCTTTGTTGTTTTGTGTACATGTGTACAGAGTTGTATGTGTGGTGTGCATGCATCTTAAAGTGTCTCAAAAACTGTATTCGTCAGTGGTTTTTACTAAATATATCTCAGAAATTTTGCTATTTTTGTAAATATAAATCTACGTGATAGCATAGTTTTCTGTAAATGCAGAATTTTTCTGTAAGTGGATGATGAGGTTTTCCTATCCACCCCCCCCGCATTAACAAAAGTTGCTGTTGCTGTTTAGAACATCCTTGTACATATTTCTTTGTGAACACATGCAAGTATTTCTGTTGGATTGATTCCTAGAAGTGAAATTGAATCAAGTGATACTGTTATTTAATATTTCCGTAGATACTGCTAGGTTGACCTCAGGTTTTGGTGCGGGGCGGGGCAGGCTGGATTGTGCCAGTTAATATTCCCAGCAGTAGCCTCAGTACCAGTTTTCTCTCCCTCTTACCAGTGTGGCATATTCTATTTAAATCTTTTGTAACCTGTTGAGAAAAAGATTCCCGTTACGTGTTTTCAGAATGTTGGTGTAATTCAGTTTATTTCATGTTCATTAGCTGTGGATTGCTTCCTTCACAGTTTCCCTCATCTTTTTTATGGACCTGTCTTTTTCTTAATGATAGGAGAGAGTTTTTTTTTTTTTAAGATTTTATTTATTTGAGAGGGAGCTGGGGAGGGGGGTAGGGAAAGGGATAAGTAGACTCCCTCTTGAGTGTGGAGCCAGATGCGGGGCTTGATCCCACGACCCTGAGATCATGATTTGAGCTGAATTTAGATGCTTAACCTACTGAGCCACACAGATGCCCCATAAGAGACCTTTTTATGCATGCTATTAACCTCTTTGATTTTTACATACATTATACTTTCTCCCTACCTGTTGGTTATTGTTTTGATGTCTTGTCACACATAAGTTCTGTATTTCAATGAGATCAAATTTATTGATCTTTTATTTATAGCTTCTACGTTCTAGGTATTTCTTAGGGACTGTCCCTCGCCCCCCAGTGCAACTATATGTTCCTAGTGCTTTTATAGTCCATGTGAATACATGTAAGGTAACTGCTTGTGTAAATTATTTTCCAGGTTCTGTCAGAGAAAAATGTATTGTCAGTAGAACTTTAATTCCTTGATTTTTTTCTATTTCTTATAAAATGGGTAAATGCTAACTTTAAGCAAAACAAATTACTCAGGGGGTGCCTGGCTGGCACTTTCGGTGGAGCATGTGACTCCAGATCTCGGGGTTATAAGTTTCAGCCCCATGTTGGGTGTAGAGATTACTTAGGAAAAAGAGGAGAAAGGAGACACAACAAATTTCTTAGCTAATAAGCAGGCTATGCCACTTCATTTGGATAATCAGATTTTTATTAGTGTTTCTATCTCCTCATATCTTTAAATGTTGTTCTTGAAGTAACTGTTTCTTTAGAGTTAAGCTAAGTGTAAAACATCAAGTTTCATATTTTCCTTCAGTATCGGGATTTCTTTTTTCATGGTATTTTACAGCATTAGTTTGACTCCTTAAAATAGAGAGAGATCAAAATTAGAAGCATTTTTTATTCCTTAGGATCAGTAAACTTTAGTTTCTGGTCTAAGAGAGTTTTTAATGTTTTGACAAAAGTTTTTAAAGGTTATGGACTGGGATGCCTGGTGGCTCAGTCAGTTAAGCGTCTGCCTTTGGCTCAGGTCATGATCCTGGGGCCCTGGGATCGAGTCCTGTATCAGGCTCCCTGCTCAGTGGGAGCCTGCTCCTCCCCCTGCTTGTGCTCTCTGTCTCTCTGACAAATAAATAAAATCTTTAAAAAAAATAAAGGTTATGGACTAATTTTGGTTTTTCCATTGTTTACTGAGATTAAATCCTAGAGCTTTAGCTTGCAGTTACTTTTACAGTGTCCTGCAGAGTGCACAGTGAGGGCTGCTTGTATTTGCCGTGCTTTCTTTGTGTATACTCTGTATTGGGTTTTAATGTAGGAAAATTGATCTTTCAAGTTTTATTCACTTTTGCATATACTGAGAATAGTACGGGGCCACTAATTAATTTGCTCTCGTGTTTCTGTAGGTTTTTGTTGTTTCCAGAGCTTTTTGCTCTGGTATTTTATTATGAAAAAGTTGAAACCTATGGAAACGTTGAAAGGATGTTTCTACAACAGTGAGCCCCATATACTGACCTAGCTTCTACAATTAACATTTTATTCTATTTGCGTTATTATTTATTTACCATCTCTCAGTGCATCTGCCAGTCATTTTTTTGATAGGTTAAAAGTTGCACATATTAGTACACTTCATCCCTAAACATTTTCTCATGCGTACATCCATATTATTAGCACAGGGCAGTTTTTTTTTTTTTTTGAGATTTTATTGATTTATTAGAGAGTGAGAGAGAGTGAGCAGAGAGGGAATGGGACAAGCAGGCTCTGCTGAGCCTGGAGCCCGATGCAGGGCTCGATCCCATGATGCATGAAATCATAACCTGAACTGAAATCAAGAGTCAGATGCTTAACAGACTGAGCCACCCAGGTGCCCCAGCACAGGGCAGTTTTTTGGTACAAGAATTCTTTGTTCATAATTTTTCTCTTAGTTCTAAAATGTTCTGACAGCTTCTCACTCCACATTTATTGTTAGGACTGATGGAGTATATTAGCACACTTTTGTGTTTTGAAACCCGCATGAATTAGTAAAATAGCATCTCTTTCTTAAAGTAGTTACTGTTAATAATTAAATAGTGTTTTAGAAACTGGCATAGAAAATTTAGGGTCGTTTTTTTTTCCCCGCAGTAAAGTTAAACATCTGTCAAGATGGCTTAAGTATCTCAGGATTGTTCTTTTTTTAAATTTTTTTTTTAAGATTTTATTTTTAATCTCTACACCCAATGTGAGGCTTGAACTCACAATGCCAAGATCAAGTCACATGCTGTCCCGACTGAGCCAGCCATGTTCCCCTCTCAGGATTATATTCTGATGGAACATAGTATATAACATGTGTTTACCCCTCACCTGCTTTTATTTATTTATGTTTATAAAGATGTATTTATTTGAGAGTGAGTGAGAGAGTGCATGAGCATGAGCAACAGGGGCAATGGGAGAGGGAGAGAGATTCCTCAGCAGACTCCATGCTGAGCACCAAGCTGGACGTGGGGCTCGATCTCACCACCCTGAGATCATGACCTGAGCTGAAACCAAGAGTCAGGACACTTAACTCTGTGCCACCCAAGGGCCCCCACACCTGCGCTTAAAATTAATTGTAAAGAGAGGTCAAAAGTAGAAGTGTTTTGTTTTCCCTATGATCACTGAGCCTTGGTTTTTTGTTGGATTCCATGACAAAAAAAAAAATGCATCTAGTCCCATTTCCACAAAAGATTTTGATTTAGTAGTACATTATACATTTTCACACTTTTAAAAAAAGATTTTATTTTTAAGTAATAATCTGCACCTAGCATAGGGCTCGAACTTAGAACCCCGAGATCAAGAGTTGCATGCTTTTCTAAGCCAGACAGGAGCCCCCATTTTCTCATTTTTTTTGTGTTACTTAAGTAAAATTTAAGTACGATGAGCAGAAATATTTGAACTTCATTTCCACAATTAAAATAAACATTTCCAGTAACCCTGAAAGTTTTCTTGTGTTCCTTTGTTGTGCATCCCTCCTTTTAATCCCATCCCTAAGGATCCTTCTGCTTTCTGTTATTTTAGATTACTTTGTATTTTGTAGAATGTCATGTCAAGAATCATATACTTTTTTTGTCTAGCCGCTTCTTAAAAATATGACAAGTATGTTGAGATGATTCACATCCCATACAGTTCACTCATTTAAAGTGTACAATTCCATGATTTTTAATATATTCACAGAGTTGCGCAGCCATTACCATATTCAGTTTTAGAACATTTTCATTAGCCATTTTCATCCCCCCACCCCCAGAACTTTAAGAATGTTGCTTTACTTTGTTCTTGCCTCTGTGGTTTCTGGTAAGACATCCAGCGTCATTGGACTTGTTCCCCTGTTTGTGGTGTGACATATTTAGAAGCCGGCGTAGAAAATTTAGGGTAGGTTTTTTTTTTTTAAGTAAAGTTAAACATCTACGTAAGTGACATTTATGTAAGGCATTTTGATATAGTCCCTTGGGTTTCCTGAAAGCCTATTGATTCTTTTTTTCCTCTCTTTCTTCAGGTGGGGTAATTACTGATGTACTTTTAGTTCACTGATAATTCCCTGTCATCTCCATTCTGTTCTTGAGCCAATCTAAAGAAATTTAATTTCAGTTGTGTATTTTTCTTCTTCTCTTTTTAATTTTTTAATTTAATTTTTTTAAAGGTTTATTTATTTATTTGACAGAGAGAGACACAGCAAGAGAGGGAATACAAGCAGGGGCAGTGGGAGAGGGAGAAGCAGGCTTCCTGTGGAGCAGAGAGCCCGATGTGGGGCTTGATCCCAGGACCCTGGGATCATCACCTGAGCCGAAGGCAGACGCTTAACGACTAAGCCACCCAGGCGCCCCTTAATTTTATTTTAATGTATGATATTGTTTTAGGTGTACAATATAGTGATTCAGCACTTCCATACATTACCCGGTGCTCGTGACACGTGTACTCCTTAATCCCGGTCCCCCTACCCACCTCCCCTCTGGTAACCATCAGTTTGCTCTCTGTAGTTAAGAGTCGTTTCTTGCCTTGTCTCCTTTTTTTTTTTTCCCTTTGCTTCATTTTTTTGTTTTTCCTCTTTAAATTTTTTTTTTTTTTTTTTTGCAGTTTCTGTTTCTCTAATGAGAACTGTTTTCAAGTTTTTTTTTTCTTCATCTCATGAACTCTAGTTATAATTGCTGCTTTAAAGTCTTCGATTTTCTCAACAATAGAGGTTTTATCTGATATTTTCAATATCTAGATCAGCTTGGCTTGGCAGCTGTTGATGAACTTGTCATTATCTGGCCATAAGTACCTGGTTTCTATTGGGAGTTTTCACTGCCTGTGCTGCCACCATCATGTACCGTGTGACTGGGGGCCCTTAGGGCAGAGGTGTAAGGGAGGAAAAATGGGAAATTTACACCCTTGCAGTTGCTGCTGTAAATATTAACTCTCTTCCATACTTATATTTATTTTTAAAAACTGTACACAGTCCTTACATTCTCTTTTTTTCTATTTTGTCTGAATTTCTTGTAATGAACAGGAACAGTGAGCTCTAGTGGGCTCTGGTGTCATAGTGCAATCAATATTTCTTCTTTTTTATACCAGATATAGTAAGATATTAAAGACTTCATAGTAGGTTGCATTTGAGTTTTTAAAATTCTGATTTGGTAAGAAATACTAAGAAGTATTACATAATAGGTATTGTGCTGTGGTCTGTTCTTTAGTTTTAGAACTGCTTAATAGCATTCTTATTTGTTGCCATTGAATTCATCCTTTGTGATAGGTTAAAATGTAACACTCTCAGACTGAGCCAGCTACACCAAGTTCTTGAGCGCTCTAACCACTGATTATGAATTACTTTGCTTGTCTTGGTTTTTCTCAGTTAAAATACTGAACTGCTGTTCTAACCTTAGCCATTCAGTTCTCTCCTCCAAAAATTATATTTGGCCCTGTAACTATTAAATACGAAGGTGTCCTCACCACCCCTCCACCTCTCCTTTAGGCAGGATGACAGTAAAAGACTTACCTATCAAATATGTTCCATAACAGAAGAAACTGATATTTGAATCAATTCGTAGGTGTGTTGTTTGGACTGGTGATGAGCGGGTCTTCTTTTATAATCCTACCACCCGTCTTTCTATGTGGGACCGACCTGATGATCTGATTGGAAGGGCAGATGTTGACAAAATTATTCAGGAGCCTCCTCATAAAAAAGGAATGGAAGAAGTGAAGAAACTAAGTAAGTTTTAAATTAGGAATTTATCCTCTAATTTTATTATTTTTTTAATATTTTTACAGAAAATTTGAGGCCATTTAGGAAGGAAACTTGCTGTTTTCAAGGAATATAAGAAATTTGAGAAATGGGAAATAGACCGTCATGCTAGTTTGAGTTCAGTAGTAGAGATATTAAAAATTAGAAAGTTTGGACAATTACTTCTTTGTAAAATATTTACATGTATATTGTTTTTAACTTACTGTCCTCGTCAAGATTTTTAGTTAGTCCAGGTTATGTTGGTTCTGCTTAAGGTTTGCTCTGTGCTTGCTTAAAATATTAAAACACTCCTCAGTGATTCTCTTAGCACTTTTTATAACTAGTAATATATTTTTTGAAATAATCAGAATTGTACAGAGTATTTTAAAAATATTGTTTACTAAATTTTTATAAAATTCAAAATTTTGTAAAGTTATAAAAGCTTACTCTTTTAAAGATTTATTTATATTAGAGACAGAGAGAGTGTGTGGTGGGGGGTGGGGTGGGGGGAGGGGCAGAGAGAGAAGGAGAAAGAGAATCCCAAGCAGACTCCCCACTGAGCGCAGAGCCCAACACAGGGCTCAATTTCATGACCCCAAGATCATGACCTGAGCTGAAATCAAGAGTTGGACGCTTGACTGACTGTGCCACGTGGTCGCCCCAAAAGCTTACTCTTTTCAAGCAGATGAAATTTAGGGAATAAAAGCCTTATTCCTGACAATAGAGAAACAAACTTTATTAAGAGATTGTCTTTTAAGGTACCTTGTGTTCAGACAGCATTTCAGTAGATATAATGGACACAGATAGTTTTACATAATTTTTATTGCATGTTTTTTATTGGTAATTTGCCCTCATATTGACATGATTGTGTTTTTATAGAACCCCCCATGTGCTATAGAAGCATAAATGAATCACCTAATACTTCCAGTGAAATCAATCCAAATATATGTCCTAATAATTGAGCAATCTTTATGGGTTATATATATGTGGTGCTACATTTTTTGCCTGTAAGTCATTTCCAAATCAGTGAAACTTTGCCTGCCTGTGGTAAAGTCACTAGGCACCATTTTTTCCCTTCAGCAGTATCTGTTTTATAGCTGTGATATTGATGATACTTTATAATCCTAGTGTTGAATTATGCCAAGGAGGTATGAGATTTGCTTTTGTTTTTATGACTGTTTTCAAATATTCAGTTCAGTTATTTGATAAATATATCTCATGAATAAACATTTCAAATGAATTGGAAGTTTAAAGGGAAGATTAATTTAGGAAGTTTAGAATTGTTTAATATTTTATAAAAGAGAGTATTATGGGATGGGTATTTTATATAAACAGTAACTTTTTAAAAGAAAATATTGTGTAATATGTGCATGTAACTATTCATAATAATATTTGATATATTTTTGCCAGGACACCCGACCCCCACAATGCTGTCCATCCAAAAATGGCAATTCTCTATGAGTGCAAGTGAGTAAACTATAGATTGTAGTTACCTTTTTTTTTTAGGATTTTATTTATTTATTTGGGGGAAAGGGAGAGATAGCATGAGTGGGGAGGGAGAGGGAGAAGCAGGCTCCACACTGAGCAGGGAGCCCAATGCGGGGCTTGATCCCAGCATCCTGGGATCATGACCTGAGCCGAAGGCAGATGCTTAACTACTGACTGAGCCACCCAGGCGCCCATGTAGCTACTTTTTAATACTATTAAAGCAAGTGTTCTGGTAGTTGCTAGGATTCAGACTTAAATGTTTAAATTGTTGCTTGCCGAATTTTATTCTGACAAGGTTTAATTAAATTTGATCTTACAGTTAAAGAAGAACAAGAATTAATGGAAGAACTTAATGAAGATGAACCTGTTAAAGCCAAAAAACGGAAGTAAGTAATACTTACAGTTCATGTAATTCAGGGAGATTATAATACTATTTCAAAAGTTATTAGGTCCCAGTCGGTTTGTGGTTGGGACAGGTAATATGTATTTTAGGAGACATAAGTCTTGATTTGCTAAGGCCTAATATTTAGAAAGCTTTGCTTTAGAATGTAGAAATGGTGTCCCTTCTGTTGCTAGATGTGCAGAATACTTGATTACTTAAATACTTGATTACTTAAAAAAGTATTATAAAGCGAAGTGACATTTTAGGAATTAGATGATAAATTATTTTCAGACATTCATTAAGCCTGAATTTTATAAAAAAATTGAATTTCCTCCTTAATGTAGACCCCAAAAGACACCATTCCAGAAATTTCATAAATACAGACACACAGACTTCTCTCTCTTTTTATGTACTTGTCCCTTAGCCAGTCCTTGAGTCTGTGTCATTGCTACCTGGTGAAGAGGGAACCTGTGAGCTTAGAAAATGCTTTGGGAGAAAGAGATTGCCATAAGCAGGAGCATTAGGTTGGCCAGTGCTCTGTAATTGGGTAACATATGAATGTTTCTAATTATGGGGGATGAAAGGCTTGGCTAGACGTGGGTGGGTGGGGGAGGAATGGGACCATTATTTAGCAGCAAAAAGGAAAGTTTGACGACATTATTAGGAACTGGATGAACCGTAGTCCTTATCTAAAAAGGACAGATTGAATGCAGCCAAATTATGGCAAAGGAATCAGTAAGACAACCCCTCGGAAGGGTGGTTCTTTTTAAAAAATCGTTAGCAACAATGTTAAAGGAATTAAGATATTAAAGAGAGTCACTCATAATCAACCGAAGTAACATAGCTATTTTCATTTTTGCAGTTGACTTTTTAGTTCTTGACCAAATATGTAAATATTAGTTGTAATCAACTGATTTTGAGTCCTTAAATAAAATGTAGAATAAAACATTTGTTTTCTTAATAGTTATAAATGACTGTATTCATTCTGTTTATATAACCATAATTTTGGATGTTCCTACAATGTTAAACTTTTAGGTTGTTTTTAATTGTTTGTTCTTATAGACAACTCTGTAAGGTTTTTAACTGCTTTTATCAGGAGAATGTCAAAGAAGTCCTTTATGTGGATTGCCCGAGCTTCTCTATTTAGGTACAAAGTTAAAAGCCTATTTTTCCTGGCTTAGTTTTTCTTTATTTCTTTTATTGAGATAGATAGTGATAGTTTGTATTGTGACATTTCCATTTAGTGTAATTCTATAAAGGTTATTTGTTTTCATTAGTTATATTTCTTGGATGTCTTTTAATTCTTTATTTAAATAGTTTTTAAATAAATTATTATAAGAGGGTATATTGTTTGGCAAATTACTTTTACCTGTTTGTTTTGTGCATATCTTAGGTCACAGACTATCTCGCTAAGTTCCTGCAGGTCACGGACTGTGTCTTCTATTTCTTTTGATTCATTCTCTAAGTTGCTAATTACCTCTCACTTAACATGTATTTGTGGGTTAGCCTTAGTTCCATTTAAATCTGCTGGGCTACCTTCACTTCCCTATAGAGCATGCTTTTGAAATTGATGATGTTTTGTTTTCCTGATTCCCTTAAGTTTGTGTAGGGAATATGAACCAATTTTATTTTTATACTTAGATCATATTTAAGAAGGAAGATCTGCCCAAACACACACGAATATTATTGAATTACTTACTGTTTTGGATTATTCACATGAACGGGCCTTCTTCATAGTGCAGATGTTTGAGAGGTGACTCGATTTCATGTTTACAATCTCACTTGAGTGAGAGCAACATCAACAGGGTTGTCCTTAGCCCTGAGGTGCATTTTTTGAGGAAAAAGAAGTAGTTTAGTCATTGGTGAACAGTTGTAATTCCAACTAACTACTCCTGGGCCTATGTTGCTCTCTGGGACCTGTCCTTCAACTTAAATCTCAACTTACCACCCAGAAAGTGAGTAAAAAAGATGTCAGGTAGGTAAGGTATATATCTCACATATCCAAATGGCCAAGTTTGCAGATATTTTCATTTTATTTTCAAAATGAATATTTGAGATTACTAAGATTTATCCAATTTTTATTAAATTAAGAAATATTTTATGTATCTATAATGTAAAACATTTTGGAAAATACTGTTTTTCCTGTATCATTTCAAGAACTAAAAATTACATTTTGTGCTGTTTGTTTCTAACACATAGAGTTTTACTGCAATGTTAGTTTTTTGTTTTTGTTTTTGAAAGTAAGGTAGTTTATTCTGTGTATCAGGGAGAGAGACAGCACAACAATATAGCCATTGTAACATCATTAGAAGCTCATTGTAACTTTATTATTATTGTAATGGAAGTTGCTTATCCCTTAGAGTTCATTTGAAACCCTCAATGTAATTTTTTTTGCCAAAAATATGCTGCTCAGTAGTGAGTCTTGAGTATTCCATTGATGTAAAGATTTTAGTAAGATTCCATATTAATATTTTGTCAGTTGATGCCTTATATTTTATTTTTTTTATAGGAGAGACGATAATAAAGACATTGATTCAGAGAAAGAAGCTGCGATGGAAGCTGAAATTAAAGCTGCCCGAGAAAGGGCCATTGTCCCTCTGGAGGCCCGAATGAAGCAGTTCAAGGACATGCTGCTAGAGAGAGGGGTCAGAAAACAATCTTTGGGGGAGATATTTCTGTTTTGTATAAGTAATATAAATATGTCTTGCTAAAAGGTCAAGTCTAAGGTTAGTGCTCATGTTGGGGGGGGGGGATAAGGGAAGCCTATCAAATTACTGTACTCTCTCAAACAGCCTTTTTCTTGGCCCATCCTGTCATGTTTAACTAAATGCCATTTTACTATCCTTTTAAATACAAATAACATTTAACATTTATTGGGTCATTACATTTTGGTGAGTAATATAAGATGAGTATTAACAGAGTATTATTACAGAATGGCGGACTACGAGGGATAGGTAAGGCATATATAATTCTTTAATACTTCCCAGAATGGTTTTGGTTAAAGGAGAACTGGTATTTTATGATATTATTAATAAAGCTTAATTGAGAGGGGGTTTCAGCCTTTTGGTTCACATATTTACATATTCATTTGAATAAGTATATTTGTTCAGTTTAAAATCACAACATTGTTCACAAGATTGGAGAAAGCCTGGGAAATCAAAATGCAAATCTTCAAGGCTTTTTTTGATGTACTGATTTTTAAAATGTCACACAGTAGTGGTTATTTTAATGACTAATTAAGTGTGTGTTATTTCTATATAATATAGAAATGTTCAGAGCCAATTAGTGTGGAAATTTGCTGTTGCTAGCCTCCCACTGCTTGTCATTTATTAGTGATGGAAACTTCAGTATGGTTTTTATGATGTCTCCTTTTTAAGCAGATGTCCTGTAGATTTCAAGGAAAATTATATGACCTTTATGTTTTTAGAGCCAACTTAATTATGAGGCAATACATTTTTATTTTAAAGGTGTCTGCTTTTTCAACATGGGAGAAGGAGTTGCACAAGATAGTTTTTGATCCTCGGTACTTACTTCTCAATCCTAAAGAGAGAAAACAGGTAAAAGGAAAATAACATTATTTAAGAAATGTATATCCCTTAGCAGCATAATTTTTAAAAATGTAAGGAATAAAATACCATCCTTCCCCCCGCCCCGTAACACAGTACTTTAGAAACATAGTTTTATATCTGAGAACACAGTTCCTGACTATGTGGACATTTAAATCGTTAGTTTTGCCTTTATTATGGACGTGGCTGTTGCTTCATCAGCATTTTGTCTTTATGCCTCATACATGCTGAGGTTGTATTTAAAGTTTTCAAATTGCATTTCATTGTGCTTAATTTACTTTTTCTTGGGCAAATGATGCAAATTTAGAGTAGAAAAAGAAAAGTACAGATGGATGGAAAGGAAAAAGAAACACCTACAGTCTTACCCAACTGATGGGACTATGATTGGATACTGGTGTTTTAACCTTCCTGTTAGTGCCAATATATATGTATGAGAGTGTGTGTATTGTAGATAGACAACATTCAAAGACATGTTTACGTTTCATGTGTACATTCTACATCTAAGTGGCAGCTGTTAAATGTCTTTTCGTTATACACTTAAAGAATTGATGGATACTTGAGGGTGTCTGCTGAACTAGAGTTAACATGAATTAGAGTCGCCTCTTACTGAGTTGCCATTGATTCCCATGGCAGTACATACCATCTTACAATGATTGCTTCTTCCTCTAAAGCATTGCACACTTTCAACTTACATAGTTTCTGAATTACCTGGACCACCCAGACAGTGATCTCTTTAGAATGGTGAGTATGTTGAACCACTTGCTATAGGGCTTTTGAGCTACAGGATTTCATTTGATAGTCCGTCCTTTATATTGACAATTTAACAGTTGGAATAATTCTCTACACTGCTTGTGCCATTATGCATGTAGGTCTCATGACAAAATTTTATGATGAGAGAACATTTATAGTGTGCCAGACATATATTTTGTATGTGTAATAGAAAAGCATGACTTCCAGATACATTTGCATCTGCATTTCAAGCATAGTAGGGTTTTTTGGTTTTGTTTGTTTTAAACTGTGTGATGGTCTCATTCTCTCCTGGGTTGATGACCCTATCAAGTATAAATCAGCCTTGATTCTTTACTTCTCCCCATTGCACATTTCAAGTCTGTCAGCAAAATCTACCTCTAAAAGCTTGTAAATACAACTTCTTATTCACCATTTCCGCCACTCACTGTATTTCAAGGCACCATGACCATTTCTCAGCATCCTTGTAGCCTCTGACTGATATCTTTGCTTCCTTCCGTTCTTGCTTTTTCTATAGTCAAGTTCTTTTTCCACATGGCAGCCACACTAATTTTAAAGTTTAAGTGACAGATTAAGGCATTGTTACTGTTCCCTTGCTTAAAAAATATCCAGGGCTTCCCATTTCATTTAGGATAAAATTGAAATTCTTTATGGTTAACACTCTTAACTGCATACTTCTTGAAGCTCTTTTCTTAGATTTATTCATTCTGGCCACACTTCCTTTTTTATGCCTTAACAAGTAAGGCACATTCTGGTACTTCTCTCAGTCTGGAATGTTCTTCCCCCAGGTGTCTGTATATGCTCTCTCATTCAGGTGCTTGTGCAGATGCCTTCTGATCAATGTATCTCTGCCTTCTTTCCTTTATAGCACTCATAGCTCTGATTATCTAAAATTATCTTCTGTCTCCTCCTACTGCAGAATATAAATTCTGAGTGCTGGAACTTTGTTTTGTTCATTGTTGTATGTGTAATGCCTGGAACAATGCTTAACCTAAATATCTCTGGAGGTGTACTTGAAAATTTTTGAGACTTTCTCTTCATGCTACTGAGTGTTACAGTTTCTTACTGAGTTAAATTACAAGCATGTATTGAGAGCTAAAATTCTTTCCCAATTTAGGAGGCATTTGGTAAACTGATGGTGTTACTTCGTATTAGGAGTAATAGTTAAAAAGAGGAAAAATACCAAGCATTATTTTATTTAAATAAAAATTTTACTTAAAGGTTCTCATGCCATTTGAGTAGAATTCTTACAACTGCAGTTGTAAGAAATGAATGGGGAACCTAACATTTGGCATTAATCCATGTACTTTTTCAGTACTTAGTTTTATTATTTGCATAAGAGTATAAAATCAAGGAGAAACCTGTTAAGTGCTAGGTTACATATTTGCACTTTGTAACTTCATTTCTGAAATACGTGTTTTGATTTAAAAAAACTAACAATTTCATTGGAACTGTCTCATAACCTAAAAGTACATCTCTTTCACTTCTGTCCTTTTCTAGTTTTCTTTGGATTTATGTATATCTTACATCATTATAGAAGAAGTATTTTATATAATTGTAACTGTAAATTTTAACTTAAGATTTTCTTTATATAATCTTGTTTTTGATAAAAGATAACTTAAGGAGTCAGAAATATTTTTGTTTTTGTTTTTTGTTTTGACAAGTTTATTTTATTTTTTTTAAAGAGTTTATTTGACAGAGACACAGCAAGAGAGGGTACACAAGCACGGGGAGTGGGAGAGGGAGAAGCAAGCTTCCTACAGAGCAGGGAGCCTGATGCGGGGCTTGATCCCAGGACCCTGGGATCATGACCTGAGCCAAAGGTAGATGCTTAACGACTGAGCCACCCAGGCACCCATGTTTGACAAGTTTAAAAGTGAATAACATTTTTCAACAGAATCATACCATTTCCATGCAGGATTTTAGGCTCTGATATAGAGACCAGTTAGGCTAACACTTTAAAATAAATACTTTATTTCAAAAATAAACATTTAATATAGTTATGTGTTATTGAGAGCTTTTTAAGATCGATAGTGTTAGAATATGGTAATACATTACCAGGATAGTTACTGACTGTCAACTGGCCATCTTGGCTACTGTTTACTGCGTCAGTATCAAATTATAAATTGAATTAAATTGAAGTGAGAATCAAATAATGGAGCCTTGTTGAAAAGGAAAAACTTCTCTACACATTGAATACTTGGACATCAAATGTGTAGGTATTTTTCCACATCAGTCGGTTCTCTGACAGTAGCTGGCTGACCCACCATTAAGTTGAATTCTGACACTGTCTGCATGGAATTAGGGTCAGATCCCACAGGTTAAGGGCTTAGTCTCACAAGATCTGCCCTCTCTTTGAATGCCAATCACAAGTAGTAGGTTCCCAGGTTCTGCACCCTTTTGTTGAGTTCGGCTACAAATCAGGGTTTCCCATAGTACCCTCCTCAGGTTTAATAATTTGCTATAATGGCTCATAGAATTCTGGAAAACACTTATGTTTACTGGTTTATAATATAAGGATATGATAAAAGATACGATAAAGGATACAGTTGAACAGCAGATGATGTACATAGGGTGAGATCTGGAAGGGTCCTGGATGCTGGAACTTCTGTCCCTGTGGAGTTGGGAGTGTGCCATTCTCCTGGCACATGGAAGTGTTTACCAAGCCAGGAGCTCTCTGAACCCCTTTGGTTACAATTTTTATGGAGGCAGCATGACATAGGCATGATCAATTAAGTCATTGACCATTGGTGATTGGACTGAGTCACAGCCCTTGGAAGTTTCAGTGCTCAAATGACGTGGTTGGTTTCACTGGCGACTGTCTGCCAACCTGTGGTTATCTAGAAGCTTTCCAGAAATTATTTCACTGACACTAACTTAGGTATAGGTGAAAGGGCCTTGTTATGAATAACATCAAATTGTTCTTAACACTTAGGAAATTATAAGGGTTTTGGGAACTCTGGCCAGGAGCCAGGATGAAGACCAAATACATATATTTTCTTTTTTATTTAAATTCCAGTTAGGTAGCATATAGTATAATACTAGTTGCTGGTACACAATATATACTTCCATACAACACCCGGTGCTCATCCCAAGTGCCTTCCTTAATCCCCATCACCCATTTCACCCGTTCCCCCCCCCAACCTCTGGTAACCATCAGCATGTTCTCTATAGTTAAGAGTCTGTTTCTTGGTTTGTTGCTCACTCTTTCTTCCCTTTGCTCATTTGTTTTGTTTCTTGAATTCCTCGTATGAGTGAAATCATACGATATTTGTCTTTCTCTTAACTTACTTATTTTGCTTAGCATAATACTCTCTAGCTCCATCTGTGTTGTTGCAAATGGCAATACTTCATTCGTTGTTTATCAAATATATATTTTTTTCTTTTTTTTGCTTCTCTGTTCTTTTTTTTTTACTTTTATGTTTTCTTACAACACAATATCACACCCATACTTTTCACAAATTTATATTTTGAAGAAAAATATACATAAAGAAAAGTCTAAAAATCCCAAGTTTCACAAAGTACGCATAAATAGTTATGCAAGACAGCTAAGTCCTAGAGGATTGTATTGCATAGTGCCTATAGCTAGTAGTACTGTATTGGATGCTCAGCGTTTTGCTAAGAAGATAAATCTTAAGTGTTCTTAATACCACATATAAAATAAGAATAAATTAAAAGGGCTGGAGGAACGTTTTGGAGGTGATGGATATGGTTTTGGCATAGACTGTGGTGGTTTCCCAGATGTATATTTATCTCCAAACTTACCAAATTGTATACATTAAATGTGTATAGCTTTTTGTATGTCAATCATACGTCAATAAAGTGATGTAAAAAAAAAGCAAAAAAATGGAATATTACCAGCACCCTGGAAGCTGCTTTGGCTTAGACAGTGTATAGCCCTTTATTTTGGATGGTTTTGATTATACCTATAAAAGTCAACTAGGAAGTTTTTAAAAACTTACTAACTTTCATGGTGTTAATTACAACATTTTGTTCACAAGTTGATGTTGTAAGAAAATAACTGCTTAAAGTAGGAACATAAAGCCCAAGTGTATTGGGAGGCATGACACAAATAATTAGGAGAAACTTGGAAGCATAACAGAACTCCTAATTCCTAACCTTGGTGTGGGATAATCCCAGAGAGGGGATGTGAAGTTTTCTCGAGCTTCTGAAAAGAAAGTTAACATAAATTCACTTGGGTTTTATTTCTAATTTATTACTTCTACAAATAAGAAAGTACATACCAAGGGGGTGCCTGGGTGGCTCATTTGGCTGGGGCCCTTGACCCCCCCTTGTCTCCCTGCTCAGTGGGGAGTTGGCTTCCCCTCCCCCTCTACCCGTCCCCCGTGTACTCTCTCTGAAATGGATAAATCTTTAAAAAAAAAAAGAAAGAAAAAGTATGTACCAAGAAAGGAGAGAGGGGTTGAAAAGAGCCCTCTTTCCCATTTCCGTCAGCATGCAAATGCTTTCAGGATTTATTGCAGTGCTATATTTAGAGGGTACTGAAAATGACCTACATGCCTAGCAGGAGACTGGTGAGATAATTGTAGATATTTCTGTATAGCTATTAAAGATTAGTAGATATATATGGCCTGACCTGGAAAGAAGTTTGAAGTTTTTTAAAGAAAACATTTTTTGTTCGACTTTTTCTGAAGATGTGCATGCACACGTTTAAAGAGTCAAATAGTTATATAAGATATGCTAGGCAAAATATTAGAGTGCTGCCCCAGTTTTATCTTTCTGAAGACATTTCTTCCCAGAGCCTTCTGATTTGCTTCATTCTGGACTGGTTGCCCTCGACACCTGATGTATAGCTGTCATTTTTGAGGATGACCAATCTTTACTATCATCCTGGGATCTCCCTCTTCTCTCTTTTTGGTGGGCTGGGGGTGTGAGGGGGGAGGGTTTACCTGTTTCCTCCATCATAAGTCTTTTCTTTCTTGGTTTACTCCGTTTTGACGCATTTCATCTGTGTAATAGCTTCTTGGGAGAACATGCATGGGAAATAAATTTCTGAAGCCTTGCATATTTGAAAACACCTTTATTGTATATCCTTAATTTGGAATTGTTTGGTTAAGATATTTGAAATTGGAAATCTTTTTCAGGATTTTGACGATGTTGCTTTTTCTAGTTTTCATTGTTTTCGAATCCATCTTTACTTGTTCCTTTGTTTATGGACGTGTTTATTTTTCCTTCATAGGCATGTAGGATCCTTCTCTTAGTGTACAGAGTTCTGAAATCTCATGGTGATTATGTGCCTTGGTGGAAGGGGCCCATTGTGCTGGGCCCTTGGTGGCCCTTCTAGTATGTGAATTTGTATCTTTCAGTTCTGGGAGATTTTCTTGTATTGCTTTTTTGATTTGTTTCCACCTGTTTAAATTTGCCCTGGTGGGCTTGTCCTTAAAGTTTTTTTTCTCTTGTTTTCTACCTCTGCCCTTTTTTAAAAAAACGTTTTGGGTGACTTTCTCATCTTTATAGTCTGATCCTTTAATATTTCATTTCTTCTGTCATAATTTAATTTCTAGGATTTCTTTTTTCTTTTTCTTGTTTTATGGTTATAGTATCTTAGTTTTATGAGATTGTTGAGGATTTTTTTAAGTTTTCGTTTTTATACACAGTTTCTGTTTTCTATTTTGGTTTCTATTTTTCATGCTGGAGAGTTTCCTTAGATGTCTTTAAAGAGACCTGGACTTCTCATGATTAGGAATGAAGCACTAAAATGCTCTTTGGGCACTCTGAGCATCTAATTGGGCTCCCATAACTTGGCTTTACTGTAAAGCCTTGCTTCTCAAATCAGGGGCCCTTTTGCCCCAGGAGACATTTTTGGTTGTCACAACTGAGGGGTTGCTGTTGGCATCTGGTGTCCATGGATGCTGTTAAACATTATCTGGCTGAAGTGCCATAAGTCCTGAGGTTGAAAAATCCTGCTGTAGGGTGATTTAAGCCAGTTTGTTGAGGATCTCCTGGTGCAGGTGATTTTTAGGCTGGTCAGATTCTTGATAAGAACCTTTAGTGTCCTGATGAGAGGACACAGTCCTTACTGCTTTTGTTCTGGGAGAACTGTGTCTTATGTTTGGTATGTAACTGGTTAATTCACTGTTTTCTCTGGTATGCCTCATTTCTAATTCATGTTGTCCCTCCCCCGCCCCCCCAACTCAGGCCAGAGATACCACTTTACCTTTTAGAGCAAGAATCAGCAAAATTTTAACATAAAGGGTCAGATAATAAATATTGTAACTTTGGGGGCCATCTGGTCTCTGTCACTATAGTATAATTCTGCAGCTCTAGTGTAGGAGGAACCATAGATAGATGTAAAGGAATGAATATGACTGTTCAAATAAAGCTTTAGTTACGAACCCTAAAATTTGGATTTCATTTAGTTGTCATGTGTCATGAAATGTCATGAAATTTTCTAGTGTGTTTTTTCCTAACCGTTTAAAAATGTTAAAACTTTTTTGGGCTGTGCAAAAATAGGCAGCAGGCCAGATTTGGCCGGCAGATTGTGAGTTGCCATCCTTTGTTCTAGAGACTAATCACCTGCCTTTTACTGAGGTTCAGGAGTGACATGCCCTCCGGTACATGAAGTTGGCAAGGGGGATCTACTGACTGACTCATTCTTGAAGAACCTTAGTATAGTTATACTCTACCCTCACTTCTATGGGTATTTGGTGCTGTCACCTGTGGAGCTGTTTGAGGAGTCTCTAATTAAAAAAAAAGAATTGATTTCTTTGTTTTTTGACTGCTAAATTAGGGTCTGCTTTCTCATGTCCTCCAAGTCCTTTACTACTTATCCATGTGCTTTTCACCATCGAGAGTTGCTCTTTCTCTTTTTCCCATTGGCCTGTTCTTGTTGGTTTGTGATCTAAAAAAAAAAAAAAAAAAAATCCTCTATTGGCATTTTTTGGCATTTGAAGAAAACAGGAAATAGGTGTGCATGTTCAGTTTATTATCTTGTCTATATGTTATTAAGTGGGAAAATATTATAGATGTAAAGTATTACATTTTGGTGAAAATAGTTATGCCTTAAAGAGAACCACAGAAATAAATTTAAACCCATACTGCTGATGTTTTTTTCTAGAAGAGATTTGGAAGGACTATAATTTCTTTTATACATTTTATATTGCCTGAAATTTTTTTTTAGTAAACATGTATTCAGTTTGTAATCAGGGAAAATGAAAATTACAGGGGCTTTTAACTTTGTTCTGGAAATCTGAACAGAGGGCTTCTGAGACTTGCTATAGATAATCTGCATATAATTGAGGTATCTATAGTGTATTTTTCTATTACATTTTGGACAAAGATACTGACTTAGTATTTTCTCACAGATTCTGTAGTTTGGTAATTAAATTATTTATACGAAAGACTAACTTGTCAAATTGGTTTATTTTTGTGATAGGTATTTGATCAGTATGTAAAGACGAGGGCTGAGGAAGAACGCAGGGAAAAGAAAAACAAAATAATGCAAGCCAAGGAAGATTTCAAAAAAATGATGGAAGAAGCAAAATTTAATCCAAGGTATATGGTTCATTATTGTAACATTTCAAAATATTTTATGTGCTTTCTCCTAAGATCAGCTAAGAGAATATGTATCTTTTGGATAATTGGATTATTTGATTATTGGTGGCTGCATTTCTGATTTTCATTCTTAATATATTTCCTTTAGAGGAATCTCTTGTGCCCTGTGAGAGGCATTGGTTTTCAAGAAGGGTACCTTTGTTATAAAAGCTTCCCTGTGGGAATAAATTTCCTTCTCTAGAAACTGGTAAATGATTATAAAAAAAAAAAAAAAATCTGTCTCCATCTTAAAGTTTTACACCTAATAACTTGCAGCACAGGGACATTATTTTGATGGACTTGAAGTGGTGAAGGACCTCTCTTGTCTAGATAATATTTTTGTCTGACATTTTCAATTGATTGTTAATGGGTAGTGAGTACGCGTAATGGGCTGAAGAAGATGAGACATTTTAAACTTCTGTGAATAGCATCATAACAATAATGGCATCATTTCGTGGCTATTTTATGTGCACTTAAAGATATATGTACAAACTTAAAGTACAAACTGAAACACATTATTAACGGACTCCTCTCATACCTATTTTGCAGATGAGGAAAGTAAGAGTAAACTAGATAACTTGCGCAAGTGAATGTGGGATTTCAATTAGATTCCGGTGCTAAGCACAGATTAGGCAAGGGAGAATTACTTTCTTATTTATGGCTTAGTTTTAACAGTTGTATTATTAGGCTGCTGTGAACACCTCATAACATGGAGAATTTCCAAAACTATAGGGTAGAATCACAGAGCATCTGGGTTAAATGGTAGTTTTTATAAAAATTCATCTTGTTTAAACAGTTACTTTTGTCATTGGAGATTTAAGAGTGATGTTGTTTGAGAAAGTGTATTTGGTATTACAATTTTATGTTTGAAACATGAAGAGAAACCTATGGCATTAATATGCATTTCAGACAATGAAGCTAACAGTATTTGTGGCTCTGAAGAATGTAATATTTGTCAGGGGGTAATTGAGTTTTAGACTCTCTGAGGGGTCTTGGGCCTTTCTGTTGGTTAATCAGAAGGGTGAGTTGTTGGGTCAGGTACTTGCAACTGGGATGCACTTGAGTAAATTTGAACATGATTTGTTACTACATATTAGAGAATTCATAGTTTTTTGGGGTATTGTGGTTGTGGAGGGGAAAAGGTTTACTCCGAGGGAGATACATGCCGAAATATTTATAGATGAAATCTCATGATGTCTGCATGTCTGCAGCTTGTTTTGAAGTGATTGAGCAAAATGTATCTATTTATCAAAACCAGTATGAATCTGGCAATAACTGAGACTCTGAAGAGATTTCCATTTTGTGGATTTGACAAAGTCCTGCTGTGTCACAGTATCCTGTTGGTGTTCTTTTGGGGCTCATAGAATCATTGGAGTGATCTGTACTTTGCAAGTTACTTCAAAAAATAAAGCCATGAGGCACATAACTAGAAGTCTTGGCACTGGGGACATTGTGCTGTATTGTTATATTAACACATTCAGCACTAGAATAGAGATTAGCACCAATTTTAGTGAGTGGCAGAAAATGAGGAAAAACTTAAAATGGAGAAAATAGTGCCCATTAACTTAAGTCCACTTTGTAATGGAAAAAGACTACTATCAACAAAGCTTTTTAGTAGAATTTGTAGATAAGAAGCCCTGGAGTTTATTCTAAGGGAAAGAATGGGGAGAATTACCTCAGTGCCCATTCTCTTGTCTTTTTTCTATTTTGATGGAAATCTTAAGGCATTTCCTGTAGGGTCAAGTCCTGGTCCCTCTACTCTTACTGGTCTCCTACTACTACTGTCCACCCTCAACTCTCCCTGAGAGAAAAGGGTAACATGTCTGTTACCAAGCAGTGCTTTTTGGAGTTAAGAGATGAGTCATATAAAAATCTATCTGAATCTAATGCTAAAACTTCATCTTGTTCTTTTCTGGTGAAAAAATAATAATTATTTTACCTATTTTATTACAAGTAATAGAAATAGCTATAAAATAATTCTCACTTTTATAAGATGATTTTACATTTTAAAGAAAGGTTTATTCTTTAATCGTAATTGCTCTTCTTTCTTAAAACTATAATGCAAGGTGCTTAATTTATCATGAAAAGAAACTTTGATGGGCTACATGTGATCCCTTCTCTGGGACATGCAATTTTTACTTCAAAATTTTATTAAAGTTACATTTCCATTATTCAGACTAGGTTTACAATATATCCTGTTGTTAAAAATGTTGAATTAATGAAATTAGGTATTCTAAGTAATAACAGTTGCATGTAGAAGATTTTTATAATCTGGGTTTGGTTGCCAAAGCGTAAAAATAGCAAATGTTAGCTGTGAGTGGTACTCCTAGTTTTCAGTTGATGTTTTAAATTCTAATTTCTGAAGTTAACCAACTTTTTCTTTATTAATGAAAGTTGTAGTAGAACCTTTAACACCTGAGAAGATGTGTTTTATATGTGTGTTGAAATAGTTAAATAGTTCTTAAAAAGGAGAAAGTAAGGTTTATTTTTCCCCTCTAAAAACATGCTAAATGTGGGAGTATTTGTTATAAGAGCAAATTATTATGTAAGGGGAAAGCTTCAAATAGTGAGGTATATTCAAACGTGTGAAGGCTATATAAATGCCTTTTATTTGTGAAGAAAAATGTTTTTTATGCTGAGCCTCATTAGCCCTCATAGGCCTCATGTTTTTATATAGCCCGCTTGGCAGCTTGCTGTGCTTTTTGCATATCTGTACATTGATGTTTTCATCAAATCTGGAAAATTTTTGATCAGCATTTTTTCTGCTCTGATTCATTCTTTTCTCTTTCAGAATTCTAATTACATCTATTTTAAAGTGTTTGGTATTATCGCACACATCTCTGAGACTATTCTCCTCCCCCTAATTTTTTTTCTGTGTACTCTTTTGATTAGATAACTTACTGATCTAACTTGGAGTCACTGGCTCTTTATTCTATGTCTCCTCCTTTGTTAAGCCCATCCAGTGAATTTTTCCTTTCAGTTAGCTTTAGGTTCTTTTTTTCTGTTTTCTGTATCTCTGCTGAAACTCCCTTTTTTTGTTCATTAAGACCTTGTTTTTTTAGTTCTTTGAACCTATTTTGCTTTAATCCTTTCAGTATAATTATAATAATTTTAAAGAATTTGTCTCTGCCTAGAACAACATCTGGGCATTTTGGGTTTAGTTTCTGTTGATTTAAAATTTTTTTGGTATGGATTATGCATTCTTAGTGTGTTTAGTGTTTTCTGATTTAATATTGGAAATTCTGGATTTTTGTTTTCACAGGCAGTTCACTTTATTACAGGCTGATTATGTTAATTTAGTTTTGATTTAAGGCTTTGTTAGTGTGGATCTCAGAAGGTGGAAGGTGCTTTTCAGCGGTCCAGCTTTGTCTCCCTAGTTCATCTTTTGTGGACTTTATTGTCCTAATGCTGTTCTTTTTTCTGTACTGTCAACTTCTAAGATCTCTTTTTTGCTCTTACCCCTGTAGCACTTTGGTGGGGGGCGTGCTGTTGCAGTCCAGCCTTGGCCATACATTCACGGGGAATTGCTTTTTGGTATACTTACGGGGTACTTTCTTCCTATAGCTTTTTCCTCTGCCATTTTAGCACCCGAACTCTGATCTTCACTGCTTCTGACTTTTGAGGCCACTGTACTCTGCTTGGAGTACAATTTCTTGGGAAATTGTCCTGACGCAGAGGGCAGTGGGGCTTTCCTCAGTCTTAGTACTCTCCCTGTTGTCTACTGTTTTGAAATCAGTTGCTTCATGTATTTTGTCCTGTTTCATAGTTGCTGGAAGGAGAGCTAATTCAATAAAGTTACTCTAACTCCACGGCTGGAAGCAAGACTGAGCCTCTTCCTAGTGTGAAAATAGATGAGCTCTGAAGTCTCTTGGAGCACATACATTTTTTTGCTCTCTGATGTGTTATCCCACAGTATGCTGCTAGTATACAAATCGCTAACCACATTTTCACCCTTTAGCCCTTTTTTACTCTTTTCTGTAGCTCATTGTTTACTGTTTGGGCAGATGTTGGGGCTCAGTGGCTCTTTGGCACATACTCTTGCTGGAAAAATGGTATCTTCTGCTATACACTTTCTACAAGCAGAAATAGCTCTACCAAAGTTAGCACACTTGCCATTTTGTTACAGAGCTACTTTTAGTGAATTTGCAGCCAAGCATGCTAAAGATTCAAGATTCAAAGCGATCGAAAAGATGAAAGATCGAGAAGCCTTGTTTAATGAATTTGTGGCAGCTGCAAGGAAGAAAGAGAAAGAAGATTCGAAGACCAGAGGTGAGAAGGTAAGATGGTTTTAGTCCCGGGGGTGCGATTGATGGGGTGTGAGTAGGAAGGGACTGATGTGCAGCTGTGTTGCTAATCTTGTTCATGAGCACAAATTACGGGACCCACATTTACTGTTTAGCTTTATCAGTTAACTTTTATATTCGTTTATATGTGTGAATTGTCCCTTTATTTCCATGATGTTTATTTTATTTTTCATTTTTAAAAAATTTATTTATTTGAGAGAGAGAGAAAGCGCGCGCACAAATAAGGGGAGAGGGAGAGGGAGAAGCAGGCTCCCCGCCGAGCAGGGAGCCCCACGTTGGGGTCCATCCCAGGACCCCGGGATCACGACCTGAGCCGAAGGCAGACGCTTAACCAGCTGAGCCGCCCAGGTGCCCCAAGATGTTTATTTTAATAACTTCACTAAACTACCTAGATGTACTTTATATTTTATTTTGCATTTACAATTTATTAATACTGAGATGCCCAGTAAACCCAGAACTGACTTTTATTAGGTCTGTTTATTCACTGGTGCCTGCTAAGATTTCAAGATTCTTAATAAGCAGTAACCTTTAAATTTCAAAAAGGTTTTTTATCTTTTTTGCTTTCTAAAAGATAGCATTTTAGTGACTTTCTCATCTTCTAGTAAACATATCTTACATATAAATTATTGCTTATCAGAAATAAAGGTCAGCTATTAAAGATTAATAAATTCCAAATGTCATGTGATAGCAGTGTCAGGAATGGAGGGGAGCCCACCACTGGAGAAGCAGACTGGTGGGGATGGCACCAGTGGTGCGTGAGCCGTCAGAACACACAGCCACTCTCCTCAGTGTCCCTGTGTGCTTTGTGAATGGAGAAAAAGGACCTCTGAAGCCTAATCATTTTTGACATTTAAAATGGCCCGTTAGCCCAGAAAGTTAAAACATCACAGCTTCTTTTAAGAAATGTTGTTAGGGAAATAATACCACTCTTACTGAGAAGAAGCCATTTTCACTGTAAATAGCAATAGTATTGGGTGAAATGACTTTTGTCGGAAATACCTGAAACTTCCTGATTATATGCTACATTGGGCTTCAGTGTAGATCCTTCCAGAATTTTTTCACTGTCAACTTTTTTTTTCTCAAATGATTATGCTTCTCAGGAAATGTGCAAAATTGAGTGTTGAATTAGAGTCATGTTAATGAATTGTTTGCTACTTTTGACTTTTAGTAATAACCTATTAAAGAAAACCAAGTGAATAAATGAATGCTGCTGTGTGATTGCTTTTATACAAATTGAATGTTTTTGTCTTTGCGTTTGTAACTAATGTTCTTTTTCTAAACACTTTTTTTGTCACTATTTTTGTGTATCCTGTTTTATAACAAGTTGATAGACTTTACAGTTTTGTGCTGTACTGCCTTTCAATCAGTTCAGTCTGACCGCTGTCAAACACTGATACGCAAAGTATTATGGGATTCACTAGTGAGGAAAGAATTGGTATCTCTGTGTGGTGACTTTGCCTCCCACAGTTCCGGTACTTTACATTTTTTTAGTCTTTTTCCTTATGAAGCAATGAGAGTTGTGCCCAGAATGTGTTAATTGAAATAAATTAAATAGACATTACATCTAAATAAACCTAATATATTCAGCTTTATTTTCTTTTGATTATAAAATTCTCTAAATTACAGGTTTGGTTTTGTATCATTACTTAATTTTTTAAAAAGAGGCCGGATTACTAAAGTGAAACTCTCTCAGCCAGTTTAAAGAATGCAAAATTACTAAGTAGGCCATGGAAACAAAAATCTCTAAGGGTTTAAATATAGTATATTTTATATTCACATTCTGAGAAGTAGCTGGTTAATGAAGTTTTACCACTTTCTTCTTGACTTTTACTGTACAGTAAATGTTTATTTTTATGAAGTATATTGTCTATACCATTTTTTTAAAATCACATTTTAACTGATTGAATGGTAGGATTAGTACTAGTAGCATGGTGCTGGTATATTGGAGTTTCTTTCTTTCTTCTTGTGATTCTCTAGCTGCTCTTTGTAGCATTGAGGTAATGCAATTAATAGCTGAATAGTAAAGGTTTAAAGGTAATTACTTGCTGAGTCAAAAGCCTGTGGAAGGACATTGATTTTTGGTGAAGTTGCTTCCTTCAGTAGACATTTTTAAGCTAAAGGGTAAAATCATTTTCATGGAGCTTTTACTGGTTATTTTCAGTTTTATAAAAAATGTCCCTAAAACTCTGCTTTTTTTTTTTTTTTAAAAGATTTTATTTATTTATTTGACAGAGATAGAGCAGGAACACAAGCAGGGGGAATGGGAGAGGGAGAAGCAGGCTTCCCGCTGAGCAAGGAGCCCGATGTGGGGCTCGATCCCAGGACCCCTGGGATCATGACCTGAGCCGAAGGCAGACGCCCAATGACTGAGCCACCCAGGTGCCCCAAAACTCTGCTTATTTTACTGGGCTGTTTTGCTTGCCAAAATAGCTACCCTCAAGTTTTTGTTTTATTTTATTACAATTTTTTATTATAACCAGTTTTTATAAAATTCTGGCTCAAGTAACATACCTTTTGGAACAACACATTTGAAGTTGCATATAATAGAGTTAATCCTCTCATAAAGTTGGCATTTTTCTCTCTGCCCTCCCTTAAATTTCATTTTGAACAAATTAAATATTTTTGTTACAGTACATTATTAGGCTAGGGAGACTATTTTTCCCTATTAAACTGAACAGCCTAGTTGGTAAGGTACTTCCTTTTGGAGACAGAAGAAAATAGGGGATACAGGGCCTTAAATTGCTGCTAGTGGTAACTTACTTTTTTTTTTTTTTTGACATTTACTCAGTTGTTAAATAATTCCCATACAAATAGCAGCTTTGGTAAGCCATGTAATAGCCTGTCACGGTAGTATGCACAGTGAAAGGAAGTTTAACTTCATTTAAAGTTCACTTTGTTTATACATCACACATTTTTTAAAACCTGTATGATAATCCTTACTTTATAGGTTTCGTGTCTAATATGTGAAAATTGTCTTAAATCAATATAAATTCCTATGGCTTGGAAAGATTCCTATTTGATAGAGCTTGCATGCTTTATTTAATACAAATTTTGTCAATTTTGCTTTGTAATTATATGCATCTAGGAATTGGGTGTTCATCATGTCAGATACAAAGTAGACAAGATGAACAGAAAAATTGTAAAATCACTCTATCAACTAGTTTCTTTTTTACTGTCTAGAAATACTGGGTTTATGAGTATTTCTTCCTGTTCCAAACAAAGGCAAGAGCTAAGTTCAGTAGTAAAGAAATCCACAGTTGGTTAGCTCTTGTCTTTTTAAAAAAATCTCTTAATAGGGAAACTCTTTTTTACAACCTTACCATGTTTTCCAGAAAGGACATCATCCTCCCTTTTAATCCTCTCAAGTGAGGGTTGGAATAGGCAGAAGGAATGATTCCATTCCTAATTTCTCCTTCCCCTGGTCAGGTGGGAAGCCAACATGTTTAACCCCTATGGGGGGAAGAGGTTCTTGACATGGCCAGAATCCTCTTTTGAATTGACTGCTACCTCAAGTATCTCCCCTGGTAGGAGTACAAGATAATTTAAATGAGACTAAATTTTAAAACAGGTCCTCAAAGGTGCATAAAAATAAATGCCTTGTTTATCCCTTTCTTCCCTATTTAAAAAAATGAGAATTGCAGTTGGGAGAGGGATTCTAAGTATTGTATATGTTGACACTAAAGGATTAATACCATTTCATACCCTTGGTATAATGTTACTAACTTGGTACTTGATTGGTTGTATAATGGTAAAGGCATACATATTTAATGGCTAAATACAAAAAAATCTAAATATAGTTTATGTAATGCTTTGATTATGACCATAGAAATTCTGTAATTTATATGTAAGGGTGCAAACATTGCTTTTTTTAAACTAAAATACAAAAATTTACCGTTTTTTACCTGTTTTTAGACATTTCAGTATAGTTTCAAGTTTCGAATGAATGAGACTTTATTTGTGCTCAGCTCTAAATTCCCCTTTTCGTAACAAAAAATGTTACTCATGTACTTTTTAAAATAAGTCATTCTTAGTGTCTTGATGTTAATGCATAGTTTACTGTCAGTTCATAAGCCTGAATATTACCTAAAAATAAATGTGAGTTCTTATTTCTTATAAAAAAATGGCAGTTCTGAAATGCAAATGTTAAAAACAACCTAAGATTTTTTTCTGCATTTGAATAATTTCACTGGAGAAAATGATTTATCTTGAACTTGGTAGATTTTAAATGAGAGCTTATATATGTGTTGTTCTTTATATTTTTCCTAAAAGAGCAATTCTAAAAATTATTCCACTCTAAATAAATGCATTTAAAAGTTATTACTATTCCCATCTTCAAGGTAAGTGAATAGTTTTTTCTGGTTACAGACGTTTGCATAGGAGGAATTTCTCATGGCACATTTCCCCCCCATCCCACTACATGTTTTGAAATACAGATTAAATCGGATTTCTTTGAATTGTTATCAAATCATCACTTGGACAGTCAGTCTCGATGGAGCAAAGTGAAAGACAAAGTAGAAAGTGATCCACGTTACAAAGCAGTGGACAGTTCATCAATGAGAGAAGACCTTTTCAAACAGTATATTGAAAAAATAGCCAAGGTAACCATTGTGTTTACTTGTACTGAAAGCATGGAATAATAAAATTCTTAATTGCTATATTATAAAGGTATTCACTCCTGGTTGGGATTTGGAATTTTTCTTGTTGGTATTCTTAATATAAGATCTCTAGTAGTTGGTATGGAAATGAGGTATAGCGTTTAGGAATTTTCTTGGTAAAAACCAGGTTTGAAATTTTCTTTTTGGCAAACTAGTTATTCTGTGGAAACCTATTTTGATCCTGTAATTTTACTTTTACAGAATTTAGACTCAGAAAAAGAAAAGGAGCTTGAAAGGCAAGCCCGCATTGAGGCAAGCCTTCGAGAACGAGAAAGAGAGGTTCAAAAGGCTCGTTCAGAACAAACAAAAGAAATAGATCGAGAGAGAGAGCAACACAAACGAGAAGAAGCTATCCAGAATTTCAAGGCTCTTTTGTCTGACATGGTATGTATTATTCTTGCTTTCCCCCTCACCCCTTTATAGTACTGGACATGAGAGATCTATTACATTACCTCGTTAGTGAAAATTTTCATATTTAAATTGACTCTGAGATATAATTTGGTAAGTTCTATAAGGTGTTTTAAAATGGAGTTCTTGGCATTAGCACCATTAGAATAGGAAAACCCTAGTTATTTAACATTTTCAGAGGTTAGATATTTTGTATATATAAAAATTTGTAATCTTTTAGTCCCAAAGATAACTTCTTTATTCTTGATGGAAGTCATCTTAAATTATCACACACTGACATGCCGTAGTAATAAACAAAATGTGCTGAACGTAATTAAACCTTTTTCTTGATGATTTAGGGTCATCACTGTGATGATGAATTATTGTACATGTAGATGGTGTGAGATCTAGGACTGGAGGTGTACTGACCTCAGGAGATACCCTGGAATTTTCTTGACAAACCCTTCTGTATCACCCAGGGTTGTTGAGGTGTGTAGGGTTTTCTCTGTACAGTGAGTGCCCAAGGCCGTTCTGGTGTTCTACTTGTTTCATCCCTTCTCCCTGTCACCGTCTCTCCTGTTTCTCTTCTCTTCTTTTGTAAGGGCCCTTTTCATTACTACTGTCACGTCTTCTGATTTCTTCCCTTTCTTCTGATGATCTGTTTTCGTTTAACTCTTTTTGTTCTCTGGACAGTTAGAGTCGTTCCCTGATTGTTCTCCCTGCTTTTACTTCACCCGTTACCGCCGTCATAGAAGTCATCATAAAAACCAAATGATTTTGTCACTTTCCCTGTGGCTTGCAGAGAAGGTTCTCTGTGCTTCTAGTGGTCACCTACATTTAAAACTCTGTCTACTTAGCATAATATATAAGGCTTGACTCCCCCATATTATTCATATTCACCTTCATATTATGTTACGCTCTTTGGTTTCCTCTGTTGCCCCCTATGCTCCAGCCTTTCTGAACTTAACCTCTAACGAACCACACTTACATTAATGAATCCTGTTATTGCTCAGGCCAGTCCCTCCAGGTAGGATGCTTCCCGCTGCAGTTAGAAACTCATTGTTCAAGATCACACTCAGATCTCTTTTGTGAGGTTGATCTTGACCCATCTAAGGCGGATTTGTTTTTCCTGTTCCCCTTGGCCACCCTGTGTTCAGCATACACCTCTGCAGCCCTTACTACATGCAGTTGCAGTTACTTATACGCCTCTTTTCCCTTAAAAAAGTGAGTCCTTTGAAGGAAGGGATAGTGTCTTATTTGTTTTTCCAGTATCAAGCTCCGTGTTCAGCTGACACGTTTATAGATGCTTGATAAATGTTGGTTAAATAAATGTTTTCGTGTTTTTCTTTTTTCTTACCTGTCTTTTCAGCCTCCCATATTTCTTTAGCATTGGCAGCAGTGTGACTAGTAATAACTGGTGATGCCATTTGAAGCCATGAAGCATACCTTTCTGCTGGTTGTTGAGCCAGCCTGATCCACCATGTCTTCTCTCGATAGCCATGTTAATTCTTGCTTATACTTGGAAGTGTCACTTCCCGTATGTGGTTGATAAGTACACATTGGAGCTCAAGATTTGTTGTTGTTGTTGTTTTTTTCCTGTGACCTCTTTAGTACTACAGTAAGATATTTCCTGTTCTGTTTGTATCCATTTCTCCTACTGAAAGTTGGTAAGATGTTAAATAGAAGTTCTTCTCTTCATCCTTCTCCACCTCTAAATCACTTGACAGTTTAGGGAAGCTCTGAGCAGTGGGCTTTCTGGCTTTAAAAAAGATTTTCAGTGACTGCTTAAGGTGGAATCAGCAGAAGTTTCTTTTATTTTTAAATGTATCATTCCTAAATTAAGTAAATAAGCCTTTTATTGTTGAAATATGAGAAGATAAGTCTCTGGTGATACAATCTTTTGGTACGTTTTTAGGTACGTTCTTCAGATGTGTCATGGTCTGATACTCGGAGGACTCTGCGGAAAGATCACCGTTGGGAATCTGGATCCTTGTTGGAAAGAGAGGAGAAAGAGAAGCTTTTTAATGAACACATTGAAGCACTTACCAAAAAGAAGAGGGAGCACTTTAGGCAACTTCTGGATGAAACTTCTGCAGTAAGTCCCTTATTTTCCCTGTTTTAATCTAGATGGGCCTTCATGAATAATTCCAAAAGTAAAACATTGATGTGATTATTAGCGTCATGGTCTTTAGATCCATTACCAGAATTCATGAGTTTTATGACACTTTCTACTTTGATTTTATTTTTCCTTTTTAAAGTAAAATGTTCGTGGCATCCTTACTATGTAGAAATTACTTCCTTCTGCAGTTTCAACATTTGTTTCTGCTCCTGTGGTAGTTCATAATGTCCCTAGCTGTGTAATCATTGATCCCTCCTGAGGAGATATTTAATAGATTCCATCTTTTGCTCCATTTTCAGTTTGGCACCATGGCCCGCTCCTTTGGCAGTGTGTACCCTCTGTTCAGGTTTTCTCCTGATTATGTAATCTCTTTTTGGTGATGGTTTCTTTAGAAGTTATGGTGTTACCTATGGAGACACAGGGTTTGCAGGTGATAGTCTCAGGCCATATTGAAATGTGGCCATGAAAATAACTTGTGGCAAGCCTAAAAGAAATTGCATTAAAGCTGCTTCCCTGTCCAATTACTTTTGGGCATTACAAGAGATGGCAGGTCAGTGTGTGATACCACGTACCATATGTGCTGCCGTTTGACCCTCTCAATAAAAGTGAGTTGTATTTATGTTTTTTATTCACTTGCCTTTCAAAGATTACCTTAACATCCACATGGAAAGAAGTAAAAAAAATCATTAAGGAAGATCCTCGGTGCATTAAGTTCTCCTCCAGTGACAGGGTAAGAGGATTTTGTCTGAGATTTGCTACTGTCAGTTTATAAATATTAATTGGGTTTCAATCAGTACCTCTAGGATCTTGACCAAAATGAAATTGATGGTTTTAAGTGACTAACTTTTAAGTGTATGAGAAACAAATCTGAAGTTTAAATTCATATTTTCTGTCTTGCATGATACATAAACAAGAAAGCACAGGATAAACTTAAAAATTTAATCCTTGGGGTCAAGCCTGTGTTTGGGGATGTTAGCACTTTAATGAAGCTGTAGTTTTTATTCATTGTATAGTCAGGTCCCACTAGGTAGATAACATTAATGCTGGTACCAGACTGTCCGAGCCCCTGAGCCATGCTGACGGAACGCCGTAACACCACCTCTTGTTCCTGTATGCTCCAGAGACTGGAGTAGAGGAACGCCAGACGAGTGAAGTTTTAGAAGCCGAGCTTCGTTCTGGCGCACTCTGCCTCCTGTGTCGGAAGCGAAGTCAGCTGGCTTCTGAAATAGTGAATGAGGCCAAGGGAAGCGTAGCTGACTGCTGTCTTATTTTAGCCCTTTGCCTTTCATTTGTTCCCTGTCCCCCTCATTCTCCTTGTCTGGTTGGTTTCTCCGAGTCTAGAGTGCACAGCCCCCATAGATTTACTTTAATAAGTTGGGTTATAGATGTGCGGTCCACAAAGTGCACACGGCTGGGAAAGAGTAGTAGACTGATAACTGACAGGTCCAGTCTCAGTTTCTAACTTCACTGATTGTTTACAGTTGACAATAATAAGGTCTTTTTAAATTTTATTTAATTTTATTTACTTTTTTGTGCAAAGAGTTTATACGCATCATTCCTGTTCCCTTACTTGAAGAGCTAAATGTTCAGTATCACTTAGTAAAGTTAGGACTGTTAGTTGGGGTTCTCCCAAAGTCATACCACATTATTGTCTTTGTGCTGGAAGAGATAAATACAGTCTGTAGGAAAGGTACGTTTACCCCTTAATCTCTTATTTTTAAGAGTGTCTACCACTTGAGGTTGTTAGGAACATGAAAGGAGATAGCCTCATCAAACCCTCAGCAGTGTCGCACCTAGCAAGCCCCCCTCGAGTCTTAGCTACTACTAATACAGTGTATGGGACCTTGTTCTTGGTTTCTTTCGGCCTTAAAAATGTACATTGCGCGTCTTGCATTTTAGGAAATGTTACATGAACAAAAATGCACTTTAGTGCCTTTTTCTTTTGAATTATTTATAATGTGACTTACAAATAACTGGTTTAATAAATAATTGATTCTAATTTGGACTTTTTTTTTTCCTCCTAATCTTACTGTCTTTTTGCAGAAAAAACAAAGAGAATTTGAGGAATACATCAGAGACAAATACATCACAGCCAAAGCTGACTTCAGGACGCTTTTGAAAGAGACCAAATTTATAACCTATAGGTGTGTGCAATGAAATGTTTCATATCAGCAGTCATTGTCTTTACTAGTTCTTACTCTAATGGTCAAAGCATTCTTTGCATTCACACACATGTTGACATTATTAATTTTTAGGAATAAGAAGAAGCCAACTTTTATCAAAGGCCAAATACAGCCCATATCTACGTTACCTTTTTTTTTTTTTTTTTTTAAAGAAAGGGCCCAGATGTCAATTCTTATTTTGTGTTACCCACCCATCCAGTTTTTTAAACACACTTTTGTTTTTACTTCACTGCTTTTTTAGGAATACCCCTAACTATTTAAGAATTGTATTCGTGAAGAGACTTTTAAAATAATCCTTCACTATCCATTATCTTTGCTTCCTGTGAAGACTATTCATTGTTGTGGAATAGTTTGAAAGCTTGAAATCATCTTATTTAAGCTCAGCAAAAACTTTTTTTTTTCCAGATGATAGCAGTTTGCTGGATACTTTAAAAATTTTAAATGATAAAGTCAGAGTTTTGAAACAAGATTTCTCTGTAACATGCCCGGTAGTTCCACATTCCCAACAGTTTACCATCAGGAAAACAAGTTAACGTTGCTTAGCAGTCAGTGCACAGGAAACAGTTTTGTTTCATGCTCCAGCTTTTCTTCCTTTAAGAGAAAAATTGGAAACATCTTAATGAAGGGTATGTGCACGGGAGGATAGATAGTGCTGAGGGTGTGGTTTTTAGGTATTTTGTCATTGGATTTTTTTGGTCAGGATCCTTAATGTTTTGCATCAGCTTGGGCTTTTAAATTAGATGTGAAGTAAGACTTCTTTCTACATTTTTATAGTTAATTTAGTGAAAGATGTGAAAGTGAAAGCTTGTGAGAGATGCTGGGATTGGCAGCCCCGCAGACTGAAGTCCTCTGTTCATCCACAGAACAGGTACAGCACGGGCAAGATTTACCCACCCACCCTCAGCCCTGATCTGGAGGGACCACCAGTAGGGGTGGGAGGGTAATTCAGCTTCTGAGGCCCTTTCACTCCTTGGAGTCTTTGCTGAGGCGACTTACAAAGGTGACCACTGCAGTGAAATTTTTCTTAAAAAAATAAATAAATAAAATGGAAACACGATTAGGAACTAGATGGACATTTCCAGCTCATTTCTGAAAGACCTAGGAACAGCAGTCAGTAATTCTTGGACTTCTTTTCTTATTTCAGATCCAAAAAGCTAATCCAGGAATCTGATCAGCACCTGAAAGATGTAGAAAAAATCTTGCAGAACGACAAACGGTATCTAGTACTAGACTGTGTGCCCGAGGAGAGGCGTAAACTGATTGTGGCATATGTGGATGACCTGGACCGCCGGGGTCCACCCCCGCCTCCCACAGCATCAGAGCCCACGAGACGATCAACAAAATAATTCTCAGTACTCTTCCACAGGGGGATCTTCATTCAAAACGCTTGCATGAGCCAATTTTCAGGTTTTTACATGTATGTGCATTAGTCAAACTATTGCAGAACCATCTGACGAACAGAAGGAGAAGCATTCGTGAACCGTTTCTGAACAGAGAACACTTTGGAAATAATTTATGCTTTTCTTGTGTGGCATGACTGACATACATACTCAAATATAGGCTGTCTCTAGTAAATCTAAAATCTCGAAGCTAAAAATCATCCTTTTATGAGGTGTGGAAGTCAGTGACTTTTGGTGACGTTCTTTCTAGCAGTGTTAAACATGCAAGACGTAAGAGCATTTGTGGTTTGAACTTGCAGGATGCAAATACCACATACTCCAAGAAAACCTAAGTTGGGGGTTGTTCTGTTTTGATTTTGTTTTTTAAAGCGGGTAAAAGAGAAAACACTGAAAATTGAATTCTTATCTTCCAGAGGCTAAGATTATTATAATGGACATACTTTTACCTTTGTCTCTAAAGAACACTTTAGTTTTGTTTGTTCACTTATGTGCTTTGATTATCCCCTCAGAATTAGAGGCCAAGTCTTGTTGTTTAGCCTAAGAGAAGATTTATTTAGTAATGTCTTCTCAGGTATGGAACCATGGTCATAACTAACATATTGGCCAGAATAGGACTGCTGGTTAAACACATTTTATTTACCATTAAGTGATCTTTATCAATATTCTGGATTAGACAACAAATTACCTTTCTTGGGTGTTCCCTGTAAACTATACTCCTGTTTGAATGTTAAACTTTTGTTTCTAAAGTTTAATTTTAAGATGTTTGAATGTTCAGTTTATGTATTTGAACTACAATAAACCAACCCTTTTTATATATGTGGATTGTATATGATTATTGTTAAAGAATTTTTTAAAAAAACTTCTTTTAAACCTGTTCTTAAAAGCAGTAGCAAATGTAATTTGGCACAAAGAAAGTTGACTTTACATCTTAAATATCACGTAGTTTTTAAAGGTTTGAATATAATAAATTATTTGCAGTATAAAAGGGAAGGAATGTAAAGAACCACTTTGGTGCTCAGTCTCTCAGCAATATCTTATTGCTTCGTAGCAAGAAGATGCGGATTTGTTATTCTCTTGTTTTTGTCTTTTTATGTTACATGTGGCTGATTGATGCCTTCTTGGCATCCTTTCAGTGGGTCCTGCATATCATACCATGATACCCACCTTTGACCCCCACTTGCTCTTTCTAGCTGTACCTCCCCAGTTTAAAGACTCCTCTGTCTCCTTCCTTCATAGATTTCTCATTTCAGAGTACTGCATAAATGCTTAAGAAAAATATGTTAAACTGGATAATTTGTTTTCCCTGTTATCTCACACCAGCTGTGATTGCAACAAAACATAAAATGAGGAAGAACCAATAGATCTGTATTTGTATGTCATGTGCACACAGACACACATCACGTGCATACACAGACTCATTCACACTTAGGTTACTTAGTACTTAGCTTAAGCATATTAAGTGCCACAGAAATTATGTATAGGAAACTGAAATTACCTAAGGTCTTAACCTCTACAACTGAAAATTAAGATATTTTTCTCCCTTTTTTCGAAGGTCATTTTTATAATTCCACTGAGTGGCTTTTAAGTTCTGTGAGGAATGAAACTGCAATGTTTGCCAAAAGGAACACAACTATTATAGGAATATAACCTACAAAAGTGAACTTTCTAGAATGTTTTATTTTTCTAAATTCCACATAGTATTGTTTGCCCACTCACTACTTTCTGTTTTTCACAGTTGCAAAGTGTGAAAAAAAAATGGTTTGGTGATATCTATTCTAATTTCCTACTTCCGTTGTATTTGGGATTGATTGTTCATTTAAGGTGCAAATCAAACTTTACTATGCAGATTTCTTTAAAAGATCAAGTCAGGACTGTGTATTAGGTTCTTAATGAAAAGGTCATTGTAATTACACTGTGTCTCAAAATGTCCATCTTGACTTGGCGCTTACCAGCAAACTCCTTAAAAATACTTGATTCAGTTTACCCTGAGACCTATATCAGTGTTAAGGTCTGACCTCCCCGTAAAGCTCCATTGTGCCAAATGATGATTTTGAAAGGAGCATTCAAGACAAAGACAGCTTTTTAAGTCTCCAAAACTATCTGAAATAAAGCAATTGTTTTTATTTGTTTACAAGTTAAAATGTCAAACACTGGAAGCTTACATCCAACATTTACTATATATAATGAACAGTCTTGAAATCAAATAGTTCATCACAGACAATTTTAAAGGTACTCCCTTTGTATAACTATTGTCTCACAAAACAATATTTGGATATTTGGGTTAAATTGTACTTTGTGATCTTGTGAGCCTTAAAATAAAATTTGTAATGAACTAAGTAAAATGAAAACAGCCCTATCTTCTGTGTTGAAAAAGCAAACCACAACCATTTGTAAAGACAAAAGACAAACCAAAAAACCCACAGACTGAACGTTTTTTTAAAGATAAAAGTTCCATCCATGGCATATTTTTATATTTTAAGTTCTCCATGGCTTGGCCTAAAGGCAGTTTTTTTCTGAGGGAACCCCTTAATACCCCAGAGTTCCATTACAAAGTAATCAAGAATTGGGGATAAGTGTCCTTATAGCCAACAGGAAAAGAAATGTATCATAATCATTATGTTTATTGGGTATACTTTACCTTGCTGTAAAATGAATAGTTAATTGCCTTTTACTCGAATTATACTGGTAGTATGTTTGGGAACACAAAATTTAATAGCACTGCTTTTCTTTCTGCATCGCCCTTGTGCTGTTTTCTGTTCTTAGCCAAATTCTGTCTTGTGTCCATGGAGTTTTTCTTTTCTTACTGATTTTCTTTTTTTTAATAATATACACTTTTCCTGTTACTCTTGATCATCTTTATAACAAAGACCCTTAGGTATTTGGGCAGGGTTCAAGTTCAGTGTTCAGGAGACATTTAGTACCATTTAACAAGAAAGATGACCATCCCTATTCCTTCATACTTGAGGGTTGCCTTCAGCAATTACTACCTTTATCATTAACTGTAGCTTCTATTTATCTTGACTGAAAGGAGATATTGGGAGGAACAGGTAATTGGGAAGAGAAAGAAGGGCAGTTTTAAAAGTTCTCTCTCCATATCAGAATTTAGAATGTCATGCTAAGCTGCTAAAATCCTCAGACTTAGAAACTGAAGACAGGTGGCTTTACAAAGACAAGTGAAGCAGGTTGTTTAGGATAAGGCGAAGTGTGGATTTACTTAAACTTAGGCAAAAATAAGCCATGGTTTGAAATCAGTCCCCATTAATTAAGGTGGTGGTCCTTCCTTATTTTGTAACCTTCAGTCATGGAAATTCTACATGGATTAAGCAAATGAAGGTAACTCCTTAATATTCATTAATGTTTTTAAAATCTCTTAAGTGGAAGTAGTTTTTGAGTTTTGGTTATATGAAAGTTTGATAAGGAACGTTAAGGCTAGCAGGTTCAGGAAGAAAGTAAAAGGAAAGGAGTTCAGCTTTTGGCAAAGATGGGCTCTGCTCCACCCAGTACAGACAGGGTGGACCTAAGGAGTACCCAGTAAAACCGATTGTGAACAAGGGACAAAATATCTGGAATTTCTAGTGTGTGTGCCGGAAGCATCTTCTTCACACAACACTTAGTTTAACTCTTTGGATAGCCAGGATATAATTCTGAAATGCAATCATTATCCCTACCATGGTGTTCTACTTACCAAATTGCACATTTTGAAAATGCATACTGGGAAGCATTTTTGTAATTCCTAGCGTTAGTAATTGTATTGTGTTGTATATGGTAAAGGCTGTAGTGTTGACAAGCAGCAGGACAAGTCAATACAATAATCACAATTTGTTTTGCTTTGAAACAATCTATTTGTCAGAATCTCCCGTCTCCTGATCTTCATGTTCCCAGGGAATAGGGTCATTGTCTTGCACACAAGGGACCGTGTCCCTCTCATGCCAAAACTGCTCTACATCAGGGAGGATGGGGATCTGTGCCTTCTCACTTCTCTCTATGCCAGAGGAGGGAGAGCCGGTTTTCTCTTTTTCTGGGATGGATGTTGGGGACTCGGGAGATGGGTCATTGTCGGGAGGGACCTCTGAGTCACCAGCTGGTGTTTTCTGAGACTCTGAGGCAGTCGGTTGCTTTTTGGTTATCATCCATTTCCATAAGCCTTTCAAGTCTTCCTTGAACTCCTCTGACATCACTAGAAAAATGAGAGGATTTGCCGAAGAGATGGAAAACATGAGGACTTGAGACAGGGCTATAAAACCTTGTGGTGGGGCCGGGCCTCCGGCCTTCATGTGCCATATCCACAGCCAGGCTACCCATTCAGGGAGCCAGAGGACAGCCGAGGTGACAGCAATGCTCAGCAACATCACTGTGAGTTGCTTGGAGCGCATCTGGTTTCTAAGATTTTGAGTCTTAGTTCCTCGTTTTTTACACTGGCCATAAGCTCTCCAGAAATAAAAACTGGCAAGGAGTGATGGAAGGCAAAATGCCAGGAGAGGGTAGAGCTTACCAAACATGGCCATGAACTCTTCGGCCACAGGGGGTACATCCATGAGGCACATTTCCACACCCGCATGAAGCCTGGTGGTGCTAAAGAACCACTCGGGTAGGGGTAGCAGGCTAGCCACAGCCCAGATGGCCACCAGCACTGACCAGATGGTGCAGTTGTGGATACTTACTTGCTTGGCTGGGTCACTTGCATACATGAAGCATACTTTGGCCACTGCAACGATCGTCAGGCTCTTGGCTGCCATGCATGTGTGGATGAACCAGTCAGAGGACTTGCAGACAAACCAGCCGAGGTCCCAAACACTTTTGAAGTATGCTGTAGCTCGGACAGGTGCAGAAAAGAGCAGGAGAGAGAGATCGGCCACGCTGAGATTCAGAATCAGGGAGTGGATCATGGACGGCTTTCCTTTCCAGGCGCTGTGAAGGAGGACGCTCATCACGCAAACGTTCCCCAAGAAGCCCACCAGGCAGACGGCCACCAAGAGAGCCGGGACGATGGTCCTCCAGTCCTTAGAGTCAGAGGGCAGGTACCCTCCGGCAAAGTGGAGATGAGCCGACGTGTTCATGGTGCTGGAGTTGGAGCCTGCGAAGGCGGTTGCCAGCATCACCTTTCCCACACAGCTTGTCCTTACAGAAGTCTGCTTCTTTTTGTCTTTCTGCCTCAGCTCTTTAGCTTAGGAAATAAATACACTGTCATGAGTGTCCAGTGACACCTCTGGGCCCTCCCCCTTGTTTGTTTCCTGAGAGCCGAATGTGGAAGAAGGTTGATTGCTCACCTCTGCTCTGTTGCATGCGAGACATCACCGCTGCACTGAACGGCAGGCAGTGGGGACGCTTGGGTGCTGCTCATTAGCAAGCTTTGTGTCACATTGCCAGCCCTGTGGCGCTAAAACCCCATATACTCATAAATGATAAATGAGGACAACATACGTGTAAGTGGGATGTATTCCTGGGGGGTCATGAGCCAGTCAGGCAATTATTTTCAACCAGCTGTTTCTAAAATCTTGACTGCAGTCTGTAAATCAGCAAACACTGCGGCTGAGAAGTGACTCGTGCACTCCAGCCTGCCCCAGAATCACCTGCATACCTGATCCAGTGGGTCAGGAGTAAGGCCCAAGAATGTGCATTTCCAACAAGTTCCTGGCAGTTGTGGATGTTGCGGGTTGGGCGGGAAGTGGGGGGGGACTGCCCTGTTTTAAAGCAAGAACGAGTGCTGCTTTTCCGCCTGCACTGAGGAGCTCCTGCCTTGACCCAGCCTACCCACCAGCCGCCACCTGAGGTCAAGCGCACAGAGCTGGATAAGGAAAACGAAAACTGCAAAGAAGA